GTAGTGTCTTAAAGTAGCTGTTCATTTCATCATACATTATATAATGGATTCTCATAAACTTTAGGAGAAGTTCTATGCATGTGTGAGTCTCTACATGTATACTTATGCTTTCTGTATTAGAGCACAATTACCTTAATAGGTAGTAAAACTGCTTAAGTTTGACCCAAGGAATTGTTACTAATCACTCTACACCTGATAAGTGTGGTGAGGATGAAAGGCTGTTTTTAGAACATTCAGTTGCTACAGTGAGTGTACTTTCATTTTTGTCAATTTTTTCTTTAAAACTAATTTCCCTTCATGATGAAAATGTTAGTTTTCTGGCATAAAAATTAAAGGTCAAATTATGCCAATGTCTTGTACCTTGATTAAGGAAAAATCACGTTAAGATGCTTAAAACTTGCTTAAAGATGTGTCTAACTCTCCAGGATATATTTTCCCTGGATTGTCTTTCAGGGTTATGAAGCATTTCCTGAACTGGCCTTTCCTCGGTTGAGACTCCAAAAGAATCTTGTGTAACTTAAAAGACAGTATTGTGTAATCAGTGATCCCAGCCAAATGTTTCTGTTAACCTGATTCAATCCATGAAGCCAAACTTATCTGTAACTGATAAATGGTGATTTTTCCAAGCTATAATTACGTACTATAGCTCAGACTACTGTGCATATGGAGATTGGAAAAATACCTTTTCAAACTTAAGTTTTTTTTAGTTTTGTTTTTGTTTTTTGTACCAGGAATCAAACTCATGACCTCATGCTTGCCAGGCAGGTTCTCTGCTGCTGAGCTACATCCTGAGCCCTTAAAATTCAATACATTTTAGGTATACATAATAATCACATTCATCATAGGAAATCTGTACCTCTACATGATACAACTTGATTTTCCTCCCTCCATTCTCTTACCCTGTCTTCAACCCCTCTTCCCCTCCCTACTTAACAAAAGCTGTTTCTATTCTGTCCTTATTTTCTCATTTGGAAATAGTATCTTAATGCTTGAAATATTTCTCCTTTTCAGTTAGTGTAAGCAAAAGTGGCTGTCAAAACAAAAATTATCTAAGTGGGAAAATGGTCTGCAGTTACGTAGAGCACTTGTCTTTCTCTGTGTTTATGCTTTTTTTCCTAAAGACCTTCCATCTAAATACACAGAGATCTTTCAGAAGTTTGAGATGTGAAAGGGCTGGAGCTTGTTTATTGTGGTAGTGGGTATGGTTTTAAGGATTTGTGTAAAGCATTACTCTGTAATATTTTTAACATACTTTGCTGGAAGTATCAAGAATCAGCTTACCTTTTCTTATCCACATGGTAGTGGTGGTTCCTTACCTATTAGCAGCTGGGCCCTGGGGACCTTGATATTGTAGGGAATGTATGAATTATTTTCTGTTTCAAAAAGCCTATCAGAAATCATGTGCTTTCTCATAACACAACTTTATAAGCCAAAGTGGGAGTTTTTTTCTTTAGAACAGAAATAGCATCAATTCTTAGTAAAGCTGACATTCATCTTGCAAACATAACTAGAAGCCTCCCCTAACCTAAGCCCCAAAGATAAACTAACTGACCCTTTCCTATATGTACTTCTTTCACTCTGACAAGATTTTTTAAGTCTCACTCTGCAATATAGTTTAAGGAAATCTGTACCCAGCATTTATTTACTAACCTTATTTTGTTAACAAGTACCCCTTTATTTAGTATGGTTCTACTTTTCTTCACCCCTAATCCTGACAACCAAATGTTTGCAAAAACAACTGAAAGCAGAAAAGTAGGGACTGAGTCCAAATTCTAGTTGCATCCAAGTTCAAGATGACTGAGCACCACTGTGCCCGGGCACTAGGGATTGAAATGCATCAGGGAGACACAGACAGCCCTGCCCTGCGCCAGCCTGCACGTTTGTTTCTTCCTCCTGTTTGTGCTGATCTTAGAAATCTGTCGTTGCCATTCTGTGCAAGAACAAGGAGACCCTCTCCTGTGGGACAGCTGTGACGCGGGGTTCCCAGGACTCCTGGTTCCCTGCTTCACTCAGTGTCTGATGTCCTGGAGGGTGCTGTCCTCTGGGATGGGAATAGGACAGCATCCATTCACCAGAGTGGCCTTGTCCTGGAAGCTTCAGACCTATTATTGTTGCCCTCAGGGCCTTTATAATTTGTAGTTTCCTTTGACTTAGTAAGCTCTGACCCCAGATATTTAAATGCCTTGCTTGCTCCTTTTGTTAAGTCTCCACAAGTAGTGATTTCTTCCCTATTTCCTGTTGCCCCCCACGCAGGTGCTGAGGATCAAACTCAGGGCCTTGCAATTACCATGCAGGTGCTGTATCACTGAGCTATATAGCCACAGCCACGTTTCTTCGTTTTACATTGAGCTGGAAACTTACTATGTTGTCCTGGCCGGCCTAAAACTCCTGAGCCCAAGTGATCCTCCCACTCTAGCCTCCTGAGTAGCTGGGATTGCAGCACTGGACCCCATGCTTGGGTCTCCCCACCTTTGTTTGTTTTGAGACAGGGTTTCCCTGTGCGCTTGAGCTCACAGCAGACCTCCTTCCCACGCTGGGAGCACACACCCTAGACTGTTTTGTTTCATCACAGCACAGTACTCCTCATCGTTTTGCATTTGCTTATTAAGAGTTTGCCACACTGGACCTCAAGCTTCATGAGATCAAGAGCCCTGTCTTCTCCCTGCTCTATTTCTAGCAGCTAGGAAAATTCCTGAAGCAGAGAATATAATATTTGAAGAAATTTGTGACTTTTGACTGCCTTTTATTATATTGGGGATATAGCAAAAAAGACACGATTGGTGTCTAGCTCTACATTATATTGTTTAATTGAGAGCCTAAACAAATCTGAAGTGATTCAGAATTGGATGTACTTGTTATGTTCGATGGTTTTGTTATTTGCCTTTAGCTGTATGTTCCTGTTAGATACAGACAGTAGTTCTGCAGAGTAGGTATTTGTTAGACCTTTTAGGATCTTTAAAATTATTCAGTTCCTCATTTAATTGCCAAGAAAACTGAGGTAGTTCTCAGAAGTTAAATTTCTTTAAATCACATACCGACAAGGTTAGTATTTAAGCAAAGTCTTCAATTTTGTAGTTGCTAATTGGAAAATAAAATGTTTTTAAGTGCTCTGTTTGAAGAAAATTCTGTTTTGCCACTGTAATCATGCATATTAGAGCACCATCCATTTCCATGTTCAGTAGGCTATCATACATAAATTGGCTTTTGATGAGTAAAGAATTTTTCTCACGGAACTCTTGCTTGGCTTGAATTTGTAATTTGTATTACAAAATGTCAAGCATACAGAGTAGAGTAATATGAAAAATGTGTATATCACAGGAATAGAATAAACAGATGTTAAACACTGTTTTAAAAAATAAAAGGCATAATCCCTGTCCTTGTGTTCCTTGTCCTCTCTCACTGAATACTGTAGTGTGTATGGCACCGTATAGGTGCTCTTGATATTGAAGTATTGGGGTGGTGAAAATCTGTGATTAATAGTCATGTAAGTTTGATTGCATGTGAGAAAAGAAACTACCTAGTAGACTTTATATTTAAAGACACACCGTTGTAAGTGAGAGATATAGAGTTGTCATTTCTAGTCCTGCTGAAGTTCTCATAGCACAATCCATGCGTTTTGCGTGAAAGCTCTCAGCACCATTGAAGCAGTGAGTAAACCGAAGCGGCAGAGGGCCTCAGTTCCAGTCTCAAGACCTGCGTGCCCTGAGCCTCGCGGGGAACACCCTGCGCCACCATGCGTTCGGCAGTGGGCATCCAGTAAGGCGTCGCATCTGAACTGCCACGGGTCCTGCTTTAGCCGATTGCGTCCCAGTCAGTCAGTGACTTTGTCCTTTTAAGAGATGAGATGTGTGTTCAGCGTTTACAGGGGATGCTTTGGGACAGAATCGTGCCTAGCTAGCGCAGGGAGGCGCTTACCAATCAGTAATAAACCTGCGAATTCTTTGTTGCTGAACACGGAACGGGGTACAGTGAGAGACTAGTTGGCATGAGGATGAGGAGCAAAGGGTTGTGTGGATGGGGGGGGGGTGAGGCGTAAGTGTGTGAAGCACATTTTTCTCCAGAAAGTGCTGGTTATAAATTTGAATGTAAAGTATTATGAAATGTTCTTTTAAAAAGCAAACTACTGTGAAATAAAATTAACTTCTTTTTAAGGCATGGAAATTTTCTGAAGGATTATTAAAAAGCTGGTTACAGATTAGTGTTACCAGAATATGCGTAAGGATCGCAGGAATTTTATAGTGGTGTGGAGAGAAAACGTTAGCCAGGGCGGAAATACTAGCACATGTGTAAATGATTCCCAATGTGTATATAAAAGTCGTAAATACTGTTTGAGACACGAGTTGCTAAAGTGTGCAGCCTTTTTTTTTTTTTTTTAGAAGTGAATGCTTGCTTTTTGAAAACAAAAAACTCATATACCTCTGCCACCTCAGAAAAAACAAGGGACCTTGAGTGGTGACGCCCAGCCCCTTCCCCGTACTCTGCGCCTCCCCTCCCGGCGGCCTCGGCTGCTGCCCCTGCTGCGCTTCCCCTCCCCCCCGCGGGCCGCATCTGCTGCGCTTGCGCGGGGCGGGTGCGTCGGCCGCGCGGCATTGTGGGTCGGGCGGCGGCGGCGGGGCGGGGCGCGGCGCCGTTTGTTTTCTCGGCCCTTGGCCCGCGCGTTCCCTGCCTGTCGGCGGCGTGCGGCGGGGCGAAGGGGCGACGGCGGCGGCGGCTGCGGCTCCGGCTCCGGACCCAGGCCTCCTCTCTTCTCCCTCCCCTCTCTCACTATTTGTTGTGTGTTTGATGTGTTAAAGCAGGAGCGAGCCCGCGAGCAGCCATGAGCAGCGCGACCGTCGTCCCTGGCCCCGCGGGCCCGGGCCCCAGCGGCGGGCCCGGCGGCGGCGGCGGCGGCGGCGGTGGCGGCGGCACCGAAGTGATCCAGGTGACCAATGTCTCCCCGAGCGCCAGCTCCGAGCAGATGCGGACGCTCTTCGGCTTTCTCGGCAAGATAGACGAACTGCGCCTCTTCCCGCCGGAGTGAGTACAGCGCGGCCAGGCCTCTGGCCGGGTGGTTCAGGCCTGTGGGGGTGCGCGCCGAGGCTGGGAGGTAGGAGCCTGGGTCATTAAGTATTTTCTTCTTTTCTGTACCCCCTCCCCGAAATTGTGCCAGCGTGGAGTTTTGTTTCGGAACTGTGCTTTCGATATTCCACGTATCATGGGATAAATCTATTCTTTTGAAAAACCGAGTGGGTATTTTTTCAGTGTGTGTGTGTGTGTGTGTGTGTGTTGCAGTCTCTGGAAGAAAGGTAACAGTGTTTCGTATTTACAGTATTTATTTGGTGCTTAAATTGGTAAACCAGCTGCTCACTTAGATAAGTATTGCTGTTCAGTGATTATTGCCTTAATTCAAAGGCTCTTTTTTGACATACATACAAAAATGAGATACGATATTTCACAGTTGTCTTACAGGATGTTGTAAGCTTGACTTTCTTTGTCTTGTTACTTTTTCTGGAAATTGTTCCAGAAGTTTTAAATTACTTGAAAAAGAAACTAAAGATCAGGTATAAAAAGTGAAGCAGAGATTTCAAATAACATGGCCATGTGCTTCTGGGAAGGTTATTGGAAAAGTGAAAATTCGAGTACTGTTGTCAAAAAACATGGAATATCCAACATGTTGAGAATTTTGTGATGTTACTTAAACTCTAAACAGGAAATTTGGAATCTTAAGTGAATGTGTTGTGTGTGTTAAATCGATCTTTCTGTACATTTTTGATCCATAAATCAGTTGGTCAAAGTTAGTTATAATAAAGTATTTGCAGACCGTCAGCATAGTTCATGATTTTCTACCTTAAATATTTTCACCTGACTACTGGTGTTTTCGGTTTTTTTGTTTGTTTTTGGTGTGTTGTATGTGTGTGTTTTAAAATTGGTATCTTGTCTTTACTTTTTTAGGGAAAGTTCACATGTAGAGTTAGGATGCAGTTATCAGTTTGCATGAGGTGTAAAGTTCCAGGAAGATGTACATATATTTTGAACAGAAATTTTACTTGCTTTGGACAAACTTTCATAATACAAGCATACAGAAATACATGTTTTGCTGTTACTTTTTTTGTGATACTTAAGTTGCTCGTAAAATGAACTATAAAATGGCAGGAACAGAATGATGACATTTGATGATTTTATTGCTTGGAGATATTTTATTTAATTGTAATGTAATTTTTATAGTCCCACAGGTTACTTTTTGATATACTTGAGAAAAAAGGTAACAAAGACAGGTGCTGGCATTTTTCTGGTTCCTTTTTTTCCCTAATAACATGGGCAGTGTCTGCAAGGCAAACAGCCAGGTGGATGGTTTCCTCCTAATAGGGGAGCTCCTGGGAAGTTGTTTAATCGAGTAATGATGTGAGGTGCTCTGAATTCAGAGGGACCTTCTCCCTGTATTTAAAGCTGCTATGGTACATGTTTGCGCTTTGTTGCCACCTACAAATGGGCTGCTTTCAAAAAAGCACAAGATTACAATATAGTGTGTGTTATCTTATCTTGCCGTGGCTTCTAGATTTGAGCAGTACTGTACTTGACTACTGTTTATTTCCTAAGTTGGTTCTTACTGATTTGTTTGCCAGTAAACTTCAGATTCTCCCCACTGTTTGCGGAGATGATGTGCTGTGGGTACAAACAGCAAAGGTCCAGAAGATCTTATCACTCCAAAATTTTTATTCTTTTACTCATAGGATTAAAGGACTGTTTTTTGACCACATTTTGACCTAATTTTAACTCCCCAAGGAGGCATTCATAATTGGCAGGACATCTTTTATCCTTGGGTATCCCCATGGCGTGCAGATTTCCTTTTATTTCTCAAATGTTACCCTATTCAGAGAACCCTTCCTAACCCCAGGTTATCAGAGTACAGCACTCTGCTTTGTCTTTACCTTGCTGACACAGCTGTGTCGCCTTGTGTCACGCCTGTCACAGATTGACAGTTGCTGTTCAGTCTCCTCCCTTCTGTAGAGTATGGGGATTGGTTTCATCAGCATCATCTGAAAGACATTTGTGAAGTGTATAGTGAGTACACTTTCAAAGTGTCTTTCTTGCTGTGCGTTCTTTAAGTAATCAAATGTTTCATTTTAGGGGAATTTCACAGATCATAACTGAAGTGCTTATGAAAGCCAGTGAAGCATGTCAGTTATATACAAACTGAAAGCTGCTGTAACAGTAAATTTAACATCACTAGTAGCTTTTCTGTGACCAAAACCAAATACTTCAATGATTTTATAATAAGAACTAAGTGTAGTTAGACACGGGAAAGAATTTGACTCACCTTTCAGGAAAATTTTGTTTCAGCAGTCACAGTTCATCGCTATATTTTTCCTTGCATAACAAAGGAGAAGGCATGTGATGTTAGCAGAACTTGGGAGCTTGGAGGTGTCTTGTTTGCTAGCCCATGGCTCTCCAAGTAGAAGCAGTTGCCTCACTGTTACCCTGAGCATGCAGACGCTGCTCTCGGGCCTGAACTGAGGTTCTCACACTTGATTAGCTGTGCGAGCTGACCGGGGTCTTGTACAGAATCAGGGCCCTCCTAGAACAGGTTCTCCAATGGGCTTTAAGTAATTGGGAGTTGTCTGTGTTCATCCTGGAAGATTCTGAAACAGCTCTCTCAGAACACTAAGCTCCCTTCAGGAACAGTACCACCACTCTTAGAGGGGAACAAAGCATCCAGGGCTTCATGTAACCTGTCAGGCTCCTCGGTTCTTCAGCGTCATCCATGTTCTTGACAATAGAGTGAGATATTTCTATTTTTAGAAGGGATAGGTGCATGAAATAAACTTTAACTGAAAGCATAGGAATGTAATTATGGAGCCAAATAACAAAACCTTTAAACTATTTTTTTAAAAGATTGTTTCAAAGTGGAGAAAGGAATGATTTTCCTAGTTAGGGTCCTATTTGCACTATTCAGATTATTTGTGATTGATATTAACTCCATTGTCTATCACAGGCTTTGGTTCTCATTTTTGGCTACTCATTTGGTGTTAATGAATAGAAAAGATTATGAATCATTTTAAGACTGCCAGGTAAATGGCAATGAATTCTGAATTCTGAACACAGAGTAGGACTTTCTGATAACTTCATTATGTATTGAAAACTTAGTATTCAATGGTCTCTTCTCTTTCGGTAGGATAACTGTAGTGTTACAGAGTTGGCAGGCACCACTTCTTAAGAGATATGGAAAGTGCAAGGTCCTGAGCTTAATTCCGGGCACCAAAAGAAAACCAAGTGCCTTCTGTTCCCTAAAGGCATTGTGGTAGGGATCAAGAACATAGGGTAATAACATGAACAGAACCTTTTAATTTAGTGGTTAAAGCATAGCTGTCAGAAAAGAAATACAACCTGGTTTGCTGGTACATACCTGTATTCCCAGCACTGGGGAAGTTAAAGCAAGAAGGATCGCTGCGGGTTCAAAGCCATCCTGGGTTACAAACTAACGAGACCCTGTCTCCAGAAAGTAAAATAAAAATCAATAAATGAATATAGAAATGGAATTGCCATAACTTAAGTACTAGAAATATTGCAGCATTCTTTTTACCACTCTAGTACAACATTGTTCAATTTTAGAGCAGTAGTTCCGCAACTGAAATAAACCGTCTTTGCAGACACACTTAGCAGTTTAGCTTCAATTTTCTTGGAAATATTGTCCATCTTAAACCTGAATTAGGATCTGTGCTTACTATAGGAGATCCTTCTAGTTCTAATAGGTTTGTTTTCAGGACATGGATAGCCTTACATTAATCCTCAAGTAATGTTAAAAATTCTTTTCTTGTTAGTGTTCAAATGAAGAAAAATTTTCTTTTCAGTGAATGTGTTTGTGTCTGAATAACTACTGTAACCAAATCTGATGTAATTACTTTTTGTGTACACATAAACATGTGTAATTTATTAGAAAAGTTAGAAGGCTCTAACAACATTAAACTGAGATTTTCCTTTTTATTATTGAATCTCAAATGATAATCAGCTTGTTACAATAAAACTGGGGTTCTTCAACCTGGGGACATGATAAAAATTGTCAAAGAAGATTCGAGGAGAAGCAAGTTCAGTGTTTTATGCACCAGAGATGGTAACTGATGTGGATGGGGCAGCCTGGATCCCCCCCACACACACACACATCCATGAATTTAATGTGTAGCCTGCAACCTTTTGCCACATCAAGGCCAATTGCTATGGCCTTGGATTTTGGCTTTCAGATTACTTTTGGTATGATGTGAGAGTGCCAGACTTGCCTTTATTTAATCCTTTTCTTTCATAAAGATTTTTATAATAGAAATGTGAATCATCATTTATTATTTCTTGAAGCCCTTCTTTGTGTTATTTATACTACACTGCTTGCACACCATCTCCTTCCTTTTTCCTGAAGAACAGCTGCTGAGGGAAGTGCCTCTTTCACACATTGAAATTGTACAACTTGGGAGACTATATCCAGTGTCTAGGATTGCTCAGGTGTTAATGTGGAGCAAGGTATGGAGGCTGATGCAGGACGGTGGCGAGTTCAAGGCCCACCTAAGTGACATAGACAAAGTTCAGGGCCAGTTTAGAGGACATAAGCAAACACTGTCTTTTAAAAATTGTTATCAAATCGTCACACTTTTTTTAAGCTGAGAAATTAGCTAGCATAAAAGCTTCTGAGCCAAAACAACTTGTTACAGACTTGACCCTGGGGCTGGGAGGTGGAACCAGCTTAGAGTACTTGGGACTTAGTTCAGTTCCAGCACCAGAAAGAGTTGGTTCTATGAAAAACACGTTGCTGTGTTTATAGTCTCAACTTTGAGACTTCAGAAAACTATTTTTAACCTGATACACTTTAAACGGGATAATAATAGGTTTTATGTACTGTACAATTGTTCAGTGAGCAGTAAATATTTTCTTTTAAACTAGTTACATTAATTTGTGTGCAATGATGGGTATAGGTACTACTTTGCAAGGTATACACTTGTGTTTTCACTGATAATTCTCCCCTTGTGTCATTTTTTAGTGACTCGCCTCTACCAGTCTCGTCTCGTGTCTGCTTTGTTAAGTTCCATGATCCGGACTCGGCAGTTGTAGCACAGCACCTGACAAACACTGTGTTCGTTGACAGAGCTCTGATAGTCGTACCGTATGCCGAAGGTTTGTGCTTTGTTTACTACCTCTGGGCACCCTCGGGTGACCGCCTACCAAAGGGTAGCTGCAGAGTGAGAGTTAGCAGTGTGATGAAACTCAGCACGTAACGTTTTGAAACCCTTGTTATACTGCAGTCCATGATACTTATGTAACTTTAATCATTAGAAATCAGGTCTGCTTTTTATAAGATACTGAACCCTTTGCTTCCTTTAATACATTTTTTAAGTTCATGAAATCCGTGTCCCTACTTGTAACTCTGAGGTCTGTCTACTTAGTTTTGTGAAAAGTCCCAAAGGTAAAATGATTCACTCCATGGCACTTAACAGAGACCTTCAAATGCATGATGTTACTTAAGTAAATGCCCAGGTTGTATTTCTATAATGCTTCCTCACATTGATAACTTGGGGAAAAAAAATCCCACATTAAATTCCAGTATACCAAGGGTTGCAGTGATTTTAAATTTTGTGAAAATGCAAGATTTCCTATAGTTTAGGTGCCAGATGGGCACTGGGTGTTGTGTTTTTATGCCAGATTTTTTTGTTCATTCTTGTTATATTTTCTAGAATATCTCTCAATAATAAATTCTTCTCTCTGTTATTTGTGTGTGTGATTTTTGTAGTGGAGAAGGCAAATGCAAAACTCTTCCAGATGACTGAAAAACAGTGGGTTCTCTGCAGCTACAGGGGATTCTAGACATTAACTAAAGGCCAGCAAGCACTCCAGTGCCCAAGTGTTCCCTGGTGTGACCATTCGTTAACGACATTTTCTCTCTTTTTACATTTTAGGCTGTTAAAGTAATTTGACAGAAAAAAATTGAGCAGGTTTTTTGGATCTAAAAAAAGCCACTGTGACAAGACAACACTATTTAATACCATTTTGTAAAATTTTCTGAGGCATATTTTATAATTTGATTGTTCCCAGTATACTGCTACTTGATTTGCTTTTTGGTAACTATAAATTTTGATTGAAAAGTCATTAACATAATAAAATGAGTGGGTTTTAAGTTAATATTTTATGAAATACACTGACCAGGATTTACATGCATTACCTTTCCTTTAATAAACTGGTCAGGAGAAAGAAAACCTTGTTATTGTTTACTTTAGTTGCTATCTTGGAGCTTTGAATACAGTGTGAACATTGACATCTATCTTGTAAAGTTGTGAACTGTCTGAAGTTGGAGAAATTGCCTTTGGGTTTAAAGAAATCAAGTTCTGTTCAGAGCGGGGTTCAGGTATGCTGTATTGTAACAGTACTTCTATCTCCATTATGTTAACGCATTTGAGCATAGTTGTAAGGTTAAGATAGATTGACTGTAGTTATCTTTGGTTAAAAATTGCTTGTGTGTCAGTGTGTTTGTTGTAGGGTAAGATTTAACCACCAACAAACAATTTCTAGGATTCAAATTTAGGATGAGTAACATAAATGATAGGCCTGGAAACACGGGTCAGCTCACGTGAGTAATGTGCAGACTTTGTAGCCAGCCATTAAATTTAAAGATTTTATTAGCTAAGTATTGTAATTCCCAAGCCTGGAACATAATACAGTATATCATCTAACTGGCTCTTTAGCGGTAGCTTTAGACTATAGTAATTTTTTAATACCTATTTTTCAAAAGTGAGGTTTCGTGGAATGTGCATAACATTACAGAAATGTTTAGTTGAGAAGTCTATTTTTGCCGTATTTGATTTGTGGTATGACATGCTGTATTAATGTTCCCTCCATTAAGTAAATGTCACCATGCACTCTGGTTTTAGCATTTACACTTTTGGGGGTGGCTCTCAGCCAGTACTTTAGAGGCATAGACACAAAATTTACGGTAAGAAACAATCTAAATTGGTAAAAGTGATATACCAGGATTTGGAAGGAACTCTTAATAGTAATGGATTTGGGGGTTATTTTAGGTTCCTTGGTTAATGTTTGTTTCTTTTGTCTGTTTCTTTTTCTTTCATTTCTACACATTCATGCAGTATTTCATGGTTCTATCAAAGCAGCAGTAAAAAAAATACTCTTGACGCATGAAAATTAACTGGTGAGGGGCCTCATTGCTATTTTTTAAATTGTAGTTTTATTTTTAAATAGTCTTTTTAATCGGAGGATCAGATGCATGATTTTTTTTTTAATGGATGCAGATCTTCTATCAGGTGTTTCAGTAAATTCAAGAGGATTTAGTTTGCCAGAAATGTTGCAAATGCACTAATTTGAGTAAGATGCTGATACTTAATATATCCTCTTGAGACATAATTTTGCATGCAAAATTACCCCTTAATCTGTAGGTTTGTTAATATTGATGCATTAATGCCCTATATTTAAATGATCTTCTCCCCTTCCCTTCCATAACTCTTGGTATCTAAATTGATGACAGCTCTGGCACAAGCAAGATAACAGTGCTGTGTAGTATACATTTGTTTTATATTATCGGCACTTCTCAGTGTAGGAGGAAGGAACCATTACCTTTATTTAACAGTGGTTTTTCTTTTTTGTTGTTGTGTTTTACAGTTCTTTTCCCTGGTTCAGCCTGAACTATATACCAGGCCCTGCTGAAAATACCACCCAACAGTTTTCTTCTGCAGCTTATCCAGTTTCTCTTAAGTGCCCTGTACATATTGTATGTTTTATGATGAGATGCAGTTTCTTAATATGTATTACAGAAATACTACTGGTATTTGCAAATATGTAGTTTAATTGTATTATTGAACTCTCATTTTGGGGGCTTGGGCACATTAACAGATTAATCCATCTGTATAGGGCTTTTGCTGTTGGATAGAATTGAAATTGTCTACGTAAATATTTGTATTAGGACCCTTAGATTTTATCTGAATACACGAATTAGGCCTTAAAAACAGACATACATGTCGCTTTGGGCTTAAGGAGTTCAGTACAGTTAGTTTCAAACTGACACTGTATAGTCTTTTTGGTACAAGTAGCATGGCACATGTTGGAACATAAAAGCCTTTAACTGTACAGGTAAGGAATGTGCCATGTTGTTTTACCTATTTTTGCTTTCTCTCTCTATCTCTCTCACTTCCACACACATACCGTGTGTATTCAGAGGTCTTCAGAAACATTCATATTCATTTTCATGAGTCAGCAAAAGCCCTACGCTCGATTCCAACAGAGTATTTCCTTACATACTTTTCTTCTCTTAAATTTTACAAAGTTTGTATGGTAGGTGTAAAAGTCATAGTAACTGTACCATTATTAACCCCTAAATCAAACTTTTTTTGTCTTGTGTATCTTGATTTTTCTGTGTGCTTTATAGTGAAGCAGCCGACACGAGTCGTTGTTCATAAAACAGCTTTTGAAAGTTGAGAGCACACCCTGGAGAGCCGACTGTGCTTGCTTACGTTTGGTTCATGACTTAAAAATCGAGTACAGGTGATGAAATCTTGGCAGTGTTAACAAAACAGTAGTGTGTATTGTGCTATTTTTTTTTTACTCTAGAAACTTAACCATTTGTAGAGAAAAAGGAAACATTTTCACACATTGAACTTTCATTCTGATATAAAATTAATGATAAATAATCATAGAGATCAAGCTTTATATTTTAGCGAGCATAAGTACTTTCAGCAGACTCAGGTGGTGTATCAGGTAGATATTTTCTGGGTGTTTTTGTGTGTTTTCTGTCTTACCAGAGAGTACGCTCTGATGCAGAATGTTTCTCTGCAGGAGTTATTCCTGACGAGACAAAAGCTCTGTCTCTGCTGGCACCAGCTAACGCAGTGGCAGGTCTTCTGCCTGGTGGTGGACTCCTCCCGACCCCCAACCCACTGACCCAGGTATGTGTTCTGTTCCCTTCTCTGAGGTTAGAGACACTGAACCATGGGAGAGCTTTTCTGGTGCTTCTGTGATTTTGGTTCCTATACCGACATGACATGTGCGTAGAGTTGTATGTAGAGGAGAGGGCTGTGTTACAATCGGAAACAGAACTGAAACTCTTGTAGAAAACTATTCTAAATAGCATAACGTATCTGTTATATTGGTTTTGCATTGGCTTTCAAAAATAAATGAAATTGACACCGTAAAAAAATAAAATTTGGACCAGAAAAGAAGACAAAACTGAAGGAAGTTCGTTGAAGGAAGTCTTCTGCCCAGGCCCACCTGTCTGTCTCAAAGCCCTTGGTTCTTTTGCTTGGGATTGAATTAAATCAGTGGTTTGAAAGGGCATTCTAGCTGAGAATATTTGATGTGGGGAATGTGGAGCGCACATTACTTCATTGTAAACAAGTAAATTTATTTTGCTTTTTGCAGTGTGGGATAGGGGGAATCAAATAAGGGCCCATACATGCTAGGCAGTTCCCTGCCCCAACCTGGGAGGAATTTTAAATAGTATATACTCTGCCCGCTCAGGTTATGTAACTCCTTGGTGGTTTCCGGGATAATAGTGACTGTTGATCCTCAACTGGAGGGGAATGCCGGTGCCCTTGCCACCCCTGTGCCTGTGGGAAAAGCTGGTGGTGTCACTAACACCAGTGGTGGAGCACCTTAGCAAGGTCAGAAGCGCCCAGGCTCTTTGGGCCTGATTTTGTCACTTGACTCTTAGTGCCTCACCTGTGGCATGAGGACCTGAATAATTGCTAGGGGTTTGTGCTTATAAAGTACATGCTCTACCAGACAGTGGTATGAAAGAGAACACATTTCACCCATACTCACAGTTAGATTACCACAAATGTGTGTGTTATGTTTCCCGCATGCTAATTGATGCTGGGCGAGCTTAGCACATAGTTCTTCCAGAGAAAGACTGCCTATGAAGTTACCAAGCTTTCCAGCTTTTTGTCTGTTGGGGTAAATCAGAATTCTCAGACAAGTGCTATGTACTGTGTTGAAAGGGTGACAAGAGGAATCGTTAGCCACGAGTAGATTCCTGGGGAAGGCTGCTGGGCACAGCTTTCAGCACAGTATGCGCAATATCTCAGAGGCAGGAGGGGTACATGCACACCCAGGACTCCAGCTCCCTGCTCCTCCCCCCACTGACACTCTGGCCTGCTGGGGGAAGCGTGGCTGGAGCCCCTCAGGTGCCCATGGACCTCGCTGGGAAGCTCCTTTCAGAGACAGCCCTGAAACCCCCTGGGAGCCAGCGAGGCTCTACTGGGTGCCATGTGTAGGGCTGCAGAAATGGGGATCCGGGATCCTAGAGAGGGAGCCCCGCCCTCAGGCAATGTGCTTTGGCGCCCCTCCTTCGGAGGGCTTCATGCTTGGCTGAGGAGGCGAGAGAAAAGCTTTAAAGGACTTTACATCTAGTGGGAGACAGTGCTTAGTAACTGGTCTACACAAGACCATAAAAGATATTTTTCCCTACATCTTGGTTTTATTTCATTCTTTAATGAATGGGAAACTGGGCCATCTCCTAGAGCAAGGTTTAGCAGACCACCCATTTTTGTTTAGCTAACACCAAGCCCACTCCTTTATGGTCTATGGCTGAATTTGAACTACTGTGTTGTATGACTTTGTATACAGGTGAGTGGTTGCTGCAGTGACCCCAAAACCAGTACTGTCTGGCCCTAACAGAAGTGCAGTTTTAAATAAAGAAACGTTTCTTGGCAGATTGGCGCTGTTCCACTGGCGGCTTTGGGAGCTCCCACTCTAGACCCTGCCCTCGCTGCCCTGGGGCTTCCTGGAGCAAACTTGAACTCACAGGTACGCGACCTGCCATGCGGCCTCTGGCCAGGAGACTGCACTGTGTGTTTTTTGTCAAGAGTGGGTAACCACTGTCTCACAGTGACACTTCTGACTCGTGCTGGCTTGTAGAAAGGAAACTTCCAGGGTCACTACGTCATTAGCCTCTCACAGTTTGGGGTAAGAAAAGGATCCTGGCATCCGCCACGCGGTCAGTGTACCACGTGAGTAGAGGGCTGCAGTCTGAGCTTTTATTATTTTTGTTTTTGTCATTGAAATGTAAGCTCTTTTTTTTAAAGTCCTCAGCCTTTTTTTTGATAATACTCTAGACAGAGCCGTATCATTAAGCCTCATCTCCACCCTTTTTTTATTTTTATTTTTTTATTCTGAGACAGGATCTCACTAAGTTGCCCTGGCTGAGCTGGAAGTTGGAATCTTTCTGCCTCAGCCTCTTAGAGTGCTGGGATTACAGGTGTGTGCCACCATGTCCAGCTTCTGAAGAAGTTCTTAATTTTCTGGAGATGTTCTGATATACTATCTGAGGAATTTAAGCTTCTTTTAAATGTATTTTTAAAATACTACTTTTTCTCTGAATATCTTAAAATAAGTCACTCTGTCATGCAGACTGTTTAGCCTCAGTTTTCAGGTAACTTACTAAATGAGCTGTTTAATCAGTAGAGCTACCAATGCCACTTGTTATTTTTGGATTTTTTAGTGTGGCTACTAAAACATTTAATTGCACATAACTTGCATTGTGTTTTTACTGCTCAGCATTATGCAGAGAACATGTTAATTTTTATAAGTTGGCAGGACCTTTCAACATACTGAAAAGATAAAATAGCAGTAGTTTATTGTTCTGTGTGTTCTCATTGCTGTTACGTTTTTATTTTTTGTAGTCTCTTGCCGCAGATCAGTTGCTGAAGCTTATGAGTACCGTCGATCCCAAGTAAGCCCTTTTCTTCCACTGTGTAGTAGGTAGATTCCTAGATAGTTACCTATTTGTCTGTTTGTCTCTTTCTTTTCTTTCGGAAACAGTCTTGCTATGTAGCTCAGGCTGGCCTTGAACTCGTGACCCTCCTGCCTTAGCAGCCTCTTAGCTGCTGGGATAACAGGCACGCACAACCATACCTGGTGAGGATAGTTACTTATGATAGTTCTAAATTTAGCCCTTGTCAAGGCTTCTCTTGCCATTTTCTAGAAAACAAAGGCGGGGAGTCCCACTGTGAGCATCTAGCTCAACATGGTGGTTGGTTCCAGTGTAGTGGTGCACATGCTCCCCAGCTCAGGTCATCTGAGTGGTCCCAGGCCCCTCAGCAGTGTGTGGTCCCCTGGGGAACCATGGGGCTGGGGGCCGGCAGGCATGCGGGGACACTGGATTTGGGGATGAGGGGCTGAGTCCCAAGGGAAACCCAGGAGCTGTCCCCACACAGCAGTGGGGGCAAGGACAGGCTGCCACGCAATCATGCAGCTGCTTTGAGGAGTGCCCTTCCTGCTGGGCCTGGGGTGTCTGCCCAAGGTGTGACAGGCCCAGGAACTTCATGCCATTTCCCATTACGACTGATAAAAATCTCTGAAAGTGGGAGAGTTTCGGGTGGGGAAGAGAATCACTGACATTTGGGCGTTTTTACTTCGTGGGCCTGCCTCCCGGCTCATAGGTGATGGCTCAGCTTGTACCCCTGGCTTGTAGGCAATGGCTAGTGCAGTTCAGGCTTGTGTGCCCGCTCTTGGCAGCCTTTCCCCATCAGCGTGGTCCGTACCCCGCGTCACCTGTAAGGGGCATCCTTGGTCTTTCCACTTGGGGTTCCCTGAGTAGCCTGGGGGAGCTGTTGATGCCTCCGTTTCCCTATCTGCAGTTTAAAGGCAGTACAGTTCCCAGCAAATCCCAGATCTCTGAATCATCAAATAGAGATGCCCGTTGTACATATAAAGAATATGCTATGCTATATATTGTTTTGAGTTTTTTGACCTAGAGTCTCAGTGTATAGTGCAGACTAGCCTTGGACTTACTATGTAGTAACCCAGGTTGGCCTCAAACTCAAAGCAGTCCTCCTGCCTCAGCCTTCAGGGTGCTGGGATTACAGGTGTGCACCATTACCCCTGGCACTGTATACTGAAGTCATGGAATTCTCCCCTTTTTTAAAATCAAGAAATATTTTACTGAAATGGTGTTATATGCACATAAATACTTAATTGAAGTTTCAGAATATTTCCATTCTCAATTCTTGGCTCTGTTTCAGGTTGAATCATGTAGCCGCTGGGCTTGTTTCACCAAGTCTGAAATCAGATACCTCTAGTAAAGAAATAGAGGAAGCTATGAAGAGAGTACGAGAAGCACAGTCCCTGATATCTGCTGCTATTGAACCAGGTAAAACGCCCTTATGCAGTGTCACTGAGTATTAAGCCGTGTTTCTTATCAGTGATGACGATGGCCCCGGTGTGCATGTTGAGCAGTCCTCTTAACGTTTTCAAGTTCTGCTAAATAAAAGGTCGTGGGATGCAGTGCCACCCACACGGCCATGGTGATACCTGGAGACGTGTGTATGTGTGGTAGTCACACTGCGGCTGTCTCTGGTGAGCCTAGCACAGCAATGTCAGCAGATCTGCTGTCGGGAGGCGGGCGTGACCCTTAGGCCTGCTGTTGTTTACCACAGAGTGGTCTAATTTTAAGTCTGTTACTAGACCAGGAGAACAAGGAAAGCAGTTCCCTGTGTCTTTCAGTGTCCGATGAAGTGACTGCATAGGAGCTGGGCAGAGTCCAGGTCTCACTTTCCACTCTGAGTTGGGCCCGCACACGGCCCGAGGGCCTGGGCAGCGGCAGCCCAGCCTCTGTGTGTGTTTGCACCCACGGACCTGACTTTTCCTTACTAAATAAGGCTCTTTTTGCTCCTGTTCTTAATGAATGGAAATGTTCTCAGTATGCACAGTGTAAGGAAAATGACTTTATAATGGGGAAACATTGCAAACATTTTGTGTGTTATGTATCACTCAGTCAATAAAATGTCTTAATCGTTAGTAGTGGTCCTGTGGCAAGTAATGAAACTATAGATATGCAGCTGCATCTGTAGAACCCAACACTTTCGGTCACCTGATACTTCTGTTGGAAACCCATGACTCTGACTAAACATGGTGTTTTAGAGTTTTGTGAATTTATTATTGATTCTTAAAACATTGAGCACTAGTACTGAAAAGACCCGAACATGAAAGGCGTGGAACTCACCCTCACTTTGAAACGAGGAAGTGAGTGACTGTTCTAGATGTGCTTCCTGCACTTGTGTAATCCATACCTGTGCAATAATAGTTGGCCATGAACGTGTGTTCAGTGTGCTCAGCAGAGGCTGCATATGAAGTTCTATGGCGAGACAGGAAACAGGCAAGCCGTATGCATGCGTGCACACACTCAGGCGCCAAACATTGTGCAGAATTCTACATGGTCTTTTAAATTATAAACTCTCATACTGAGTGTGTTTATCAGTAAGTGCAATCTGAAAGATGCTAGCAATATAGGAACAAACTTAATCTGGCTGAATTACGACTATATGTGAAAGAACCTAAAGGAAAAAACATTGAGAGCCTTTGGTCTTTTTGAAAGTTTCACTGTGCAGTTGAGGCTGGCCTGGAACTCTGATCGATCCTCCTGTGTCAGCCTCCCAAGGACTGGGATTACAAGCATGCACCACTAAGCCCAACAGAAGCTTTTAAAAAATAAATTAGAGCCAAACAATGAGAAAGAGGTGACTGTTTTTCTTATTCTGTGAAAAACACCTTGTGGCCTCCTCTAAGTATGGCAAGTGAGAGACAGAAAAAGGAAACTTACACTTTGAGAACCTGAAGTTAGAGGGGCACCTACCAGGAACCTGGATATTAGGGCCACTTGAGCAAGCATTAGCATTAGGAATTCTAAAGTGATCACTGGTAACATTTCAGGATGTGTGGAAAATTAAGGTAAAGATTTTTTTAACTCTAATGGGAATAATTCTATTTGGTGATTTCTAAACATAAATATTTGTTTCCTTTTAAATCAGATAAGAAAGAAGAAAAGAGAAGGCATTCAAGATCAAGATCGCGCTCTAGGAGGAGGAGGACACCCTCATCTTCCAGACACAGGTCAGGTCGCTGTTTGTAAGGCATCCATGGATGCATGCGCCTCCCACAAGGGTGGTTTCTGGGTCGTGGCCCCCTTCCTGTCCCTGTTTGCCCCTGCCCCCGGCCCAGAGGCACAGGCCACCGCAGGCTGTTTCTTAGCCTTGCATGCACTCAGAGACTCATCACCATGCCCTGGACTGTGGCGTGGTTCCATGCGGAGCTCATGCCGGTTCGAGTGAGGCTTTTGATAGAGACCCAGGGATGAGGCCAGAGGTGAGGCCCTGGGGGCGGCTCTGCCTAAGGCTGTACGGAGTGGAGCAGGGAAGGTGATTTGGCCCATTACTGTGAGACCAAGCCTTGACGGTGATGGCTCCTGAAAGGAAATTGTGATGTGCAGTGCGAAGCTACAATTTAAAAACCTCATCATAGTCTGTTGCTTGGCCCTGAGGAGACTTTTAAAGTGGAGTCAGTTTCACTCTCTCCTTCCTGAAGGGGACGCCCTTCGTTTAGCACAGGGCGGAGTGGGTGACGGTGAGCGGTAAGCGCTGTCAAGGTTCAGGGGCCGCTGCCTGGAACAAGGGTCAGAGGTGCCTGGTGGCCGCTGCTTGTGAACTGACCAGGCCCCTTGCATCTGGGCAGAGGGTGTGGAGTACTGCAGAGGCACAGACCTCGGCTGGCACAGTGCTGGGGGTTCACCGTCCCAGCTCTTAGAGGCCTGCTTCCCTCATTGCACCTTATTTCTAAATTCCCTGCCCGGTTCCCTTCGTGGCCCTCAACCTCTCACTTAAGCCACCCGGGGTGGGGCAGGATTTGGGTTTTCTCTTGTGGTCAGAACTGCATGGTGCTTGCTTCTTCTCACCTGAATGCTGAGCGGACCACTCATGGTGTTTTTCAGAACACTCTGAGGTGTTCATGCCTTGGTGTGGGCGAACCCTGGGGTGTGCTTACAATCGGTGCTGATGTCCCATGGTCAGGCACGGTGTGGCCTCGATGGGCACAGTGGTGAGGGAGCAGAGGGCGCCACAGGGTGTGGAGCCAGATCGAGCAGCTACAAGTCTGAGGCCAGCCTGAATTACATAGCGAGAACCCGTCCCCAAAAATAAATAATGTAACCCATGGGGTTGAGGTTTTCTGTGTTCTTCACAGTCAAGTCAGTGTCAAGTCATTGGCCTTTCTTTGTGTGTATGTGGTGCTGCCCAGAACCTTCACACGGGGCTGCACGCCCGGCCCATTGGTTATTTCTCCAGGGTCTGCCTAACTTACAGGTGACCCAGGCCGACTTCCTGGTATGCTACCACCTCTGGCTCCCGGTTGCATCTTTAAGCCGGGAGCTGTGGTGCAGCAAGCCTGCCCTGATGGCTCCGCCCCAGATGGAGGGGCAGCAGCTCCAGCAGTGAGGGGCCTTGCTCACTTGTCAGCACTGTGAGGACGAAATGCCAATAGCAGGTGCCAGGGCCACTTGTCCTCCTCGCTGCTGGCTTGTGTGTCAGAGGGGGACGAACTGTGCGCAGTTTGTCTGTTACATTTATTTACCTACGTGGCCGGCTTTCTTGTTCATTATTAGGCGATCAAGAAGCCGGTCAAGGAGGCGATCACATTCTAAGTCAAGGAGTAGACGACGGTCAAAAAGTCCCAGACGGAGGAGATCCCATTCCAGAGAGAGAGGTCGGAGGTCAAGGAGCACATCGAAGACCAGGTAGGGCACCCCTGCACTGAGTGAGAGTCCAGGCTTGGAGTGCTGAGCCCTGAGCACGGTGCTGCTTACAAAAATGTGAGGTGGGCGGGCAGAGCTGCTCTGTTCGGGGTAGAGCAGTGTTTACCATGAGCATACCCAAAGCACACTTTGGGACCCACCAGCGAGCCTGCAAAGCTCTTGGCGCCATGTGGGATGCTGCATGCTGGGCTTTTAAAGAGGTCGCCTCCCTGTGACAATGCTATTTGAGCTGTCTTTGCCAGATAGCATCCATCAGGAGCATTCATGTTTTCAAGAGTAGGATTAAATCTGGTTATACTTTTGCTTTGCTTGTATCTGTAACACTAAATAAACTGGCGTCAGCTATCTTCACATGCATTTTAAATTGTATACATTTGTTAGAGATAAAAAGAAAGAAGACAAAGAGAAGAAACGCTCCAAAACACCACCAAAAAGCTACAGCACAGCCAGACGGTCCAGAAGTGCAAGCAGGTAATTAGACATGAAAACTCGTGTTTCAGGCTGGGGACACAGCTGAACAGCATAGCACCTGCCCAGCATGGGTGAGGGCCATCCTGAGTTGTTCCCAGTAGCAAAAAACAAATTGGTTCTTAAACTGTATAATGATCAGTAGGCCAGTGTCATGAAAAGTAATCCAGAACATAGGTAAATATTTGTGTCAGAAAAATTGGGACTTGGCAAATCTCAGGAGCTTTTAAAAGGCAGTTTGGAAAAAATAACCAAAAGTTCACCTTTTTACTGAATATTTTATCCACTGATTGACTGGTTGATTGATTATAATGTGAAGTAACACGAAATTTAACATAGGCAGTTTTTCTGTCCTACGTCTGATGGGTAACACATACGAAACTGTTGTTATTTTCTTGTGAGTAGTAGTGTTCACTACATCTGCCTGTTCATACACAAGAATGTTTCTTTCCTGTACAGCAGTTCATTCAGTGCCAAAACTGCCATTTTTTTCAAAATATGCCTTATTTAAATCAAGCAGAAGGGATACAGCTCAGTGGCACAAGGGCGTGCTTGGCAAGTGAAGGTCCTGAGTTCAATTCTCAGTACCAAAAACAATTGCCAGGGAGTTCATGCTGTACTCTGAACACCTCAGTGTGGAAGAAAACTAACTTTCACGAGCTGGTGCTTGGCGGTGCTTTCCTACTTGGGCAAGGGTGGTGACAGCGTTTAGCTGGGATGTGAGGTGCCCCTGCTGTCTGCCTCTCCTGGTTCCATATGAGGACTGACATTTCCTGCTTTGAATAGAGGCACCAGCATTCCGGGACCTGACCCCACTGAAGTAACCTGGACCTGTCAGGTGTGGTTCCCGAGTGTCTCTCACATTAAGCTCTGGCTGGTGGATTTTGTGTTTCCCAAAGTTCGTAATAGTTCTAGCTCCAAACAGCACTGAGAAACAGGTCTCGAGTCCTTAGAGGTACACTCACTGGACAGGCTCCTCGTGGCGCTAGAGATCGTACTGTATCTTAAAGTGTAGTTTGCACGTCTGTAATTCCAGAGAGAGACGACGACGGAGAAGCAGGAGTGGAACGAGATCCCCCAAAAAGCCTCGGTCACCCAAGAGGAAAATGTCACACTCCCCGTCCCCCAGAAGGTAGGGGCGTGTCGTGGCATAACCTCCCTCAGCACTGTTGGCAGCTGTAGGCTTTAGAAACGTCCTGTATTTTTAACACCTTAGAGCTCTGCTTCTTCTGCAGGGATTTGAAATGCCAGTGTCCTTGTGCCCCCTCGCATGGCCAGTCCCACCCCGGAAATCCCCTCATTAGGCCTGACCCTGGCTCACAGTCTTCTCTCCCACGGCTCCTGCCTTTGTCCGTGGTGTTTTGGACTTGGGTCAAGCTGGCCACTCCAGCAGGACACCTGTCGCTGAGGGTGCAGCTTCCCTGGGCCCTGGACACATCTCTCCTGAGCACAACCTGACGGGTCTCCCTTGTTCTAGACATAAAAAGGAGAAGAAGAAAGACAGAGACAAAGAGCGAAGCAGAGATGAGAGGGAGCGCTCGACAAGCAAAAAGAAAAAGAGTAAAGAGAAGGAGAAGGAGCGGGAGAGAAAATCAGAGAGTGACAAGGATGTGAAAGTATGTATGCAGGCCGGGGTGTCCGGTGGGGTTCGGGGGACCATGGGCTGGGCGGGGGGCCACTGCACAGGGAGGAGGCTCACTTGCGCTGTTCTCGGGAAAGCAGGTCACACGGGACTACGACGAGGAGGAGCAGGGCTACGACAGCGAGAAGGAGAAGAAGGAGGAAAAGAAGCCCGTGGAGGCAGGGTCCCCCAAGACTAAGGAGTGCGCCGTGGAGAAGTCTGCGGGTGACGTGCTGCGTGAGTCCAAGGTGAACGGGGATGACCACCACGAGGAGGACATGGACATGAGTGACTGAGCCGAGCCCCGCCTTGGGAACGGGGAGGGCGCTCCCGGCGGGACATTGGGTGTGTGCATCCTGAGCTCTTGGAGTGGCGCTGGGACAGCTCCCTTCACGGCGAGGTCTGCAGAGCAGCAGAGTGACACTGCATGCGTCCTCAGCAGGCACGGGTCGTCTGCAGCGTCACGCACGCCCCTTCCTCAGTACGTTCACTTTAGTCTCTAGGACTTGGTCGTTGCCGTAATAGAGCCATGTAGGAATGCACTGATTGCATGTAATTGTGGCAAGAACCCCCATGTTGTCAAGGTCCTCCCCGGGACGATCTCCTTTGGTCTTGTTTGTGGACGTGACGAAGTAACACTCTTAGAGGTACATCTGGAAACAGCATTTGAGATAGATAACCCTTCCAGCCTTGTGGCTCGAGTTTTGTGGCTTTTGTTTAACTCTGAAAGGTTAAGTATGCACTAACCTTTTTTGATGGCTAATTAGGCTTCAATTGCAGAAACGATTTCACATAAAATTCTTTGGCAGTGAGTAAATTAGCAACATTTTGAGATAGAATTGTATACGTTTTCATAGGTGTTTGGGAATTTTTTTTCCCAAAGTAATTTATTCCACCTCTACATCAGTGAGAACTGTCCGCCTCTCCCGGGTTCACCTGTAAAAGAAACTTAAATCTCTTGTCCCGATTTTCAATTTTTCACTTTTGTTGTTTTAAACTCAGTGTTGGAAAAAAGGGGCTAGTGCATTTTAAATGGATCGTCACATACTTTTAAAACAAATCTACTTGATAATGTACTTTTATTTGATCTCCAGTTGTATAAAACCAATAAATTTGTGTTCTTATTACTGCAGTAGTAACCTTAACGCACACAGTGATTATCTGCAAAGTAGTTAGGCAGCCGTTTCTTAGTTCCAGGAGTTCCAGGCTTTACTTTTGTGCAGTAAAAACAAAAGTAGGCTACAGTCTGTGCCATGTTGATGTACAGTTTCTGAAGTTGTTTTACAAGACTTTGATAATAAAACCCTCAAACTTACGTTCATGTTCCTGTAAACCCGTATTTGTATTTATTTACGCTGTTGAATGTATGACATTTACCTCATTTTCCAGATCTGATCTCTTTGCCTGTCTGCCCACATCCGGCCGCAGTCCCAGGAGAACGTCTCCCGCTGCGGAGGGGCATGTAGCAGGCTTCTATCCGAAAGCCTGTCTTATTGCCGCTGTCTTTCTCTCTTGGAACCCTGGCCAGGGGCTGGGGTTGGGTACACACACCTCCGACTAGGATGTTTGTGTTTTCAGTGGGTGCATATGCTTGCCTTTCTGAAGCAGTGTGGATGTCCGTCATCTGTACCTGCTGGACCTCACCAAGTAGCAGATATATCCAGGAGGAACTAGCATGTTTGGGCCCTGGGCTTCACAGACTTGGAACTAGCTTTTATCCAAGTATAAGTTCGTTTTTCCAAAAATCTGTTCTAAAATTGAAATGCCATATAGAAAAGCAGTGTTTTTACAGTTTGTAGTTAACTTTTTAAAGATTTTATTAACAGGAATTTTATCTAGGGCACACATAGGAAGTTTTAATAATGGGCTGAACAATCACGGCGTTTTTTTAAACAGTGGGATGCAAACAACATTTGAGCTCCAAGAGCGTTTTGTGGTAGGTCAGGCTGGATCACGGGCCCTGACCATCTTGTAAGCTTAGACCATGTGAACCAGAAGCACCCCATGGTGGGGCCTGCTTGGTTGGTGGACCCTCACCTGTCACCCCCAGTCACTGCCCGAGGGGCTGTGGCCAGGGTGGTGGTGGTGGGGCTCCCCAGACCGTTCCCTGCAGACAAGAGAACCGGGGACCTAGTGACCACTGCCCTGCCCCCCAGTTCTGTTCTGTATCTGCTAGTGAAGCAATTTTAAAATAAATAAAAGTGGTTTTGTTAGAACAGTGTTTGTCATTATTTGCCTAGTTTTCAGTAGTGAATGGTGGCTATCCAGAGCACCTTTTTGAGGAAAAAGCCGGGTTCTTTTTGTTTTTTTGAAACAAGAAAATGAAGCCTGGCTTAGCCTCCCATGTGCTGGGATTCCAGGTTTATGCCACCGGGCTTGTCTGAGACCTGGTCATGAGTTCGGGCTGGGCTGTGTTTAGAAGGGCTGGTACGTGCCTTAAAAGATGATAACAGTGCATTTTGACTACTGTGGAGTGGATTTTCTCACTTGCATCTTACTTAGATGCTGGCCTGTGCTGGTCTGTTTCCTGAGCACGTGGTCTGCTGAGACTTAGCATAAATAGGAACCACACTTGGTGAGTTTTCCTAGAAGACTAATTCCAGGCAGACTTGAAGGTAGTTGAAACTTTCAATTTTGGTCAAAGAATATATGACAACATTTTTAGCAAAATAAGATTAACAAATTGAAATACTAAAGTAAAAGACTCAATAATGTAAGGCATAGAACGTTAGGCAATTTAAGACAAATTATTAACCAATAATGTATCTTTATAGAGGCAATAGAAGTGATGTTCACATCTTTTTGCAAGCTTATTTTTGCAGTGTATAGTCACTAAAAAAAATACTGACACCTTTTTAAGCTAGCTAGCTCAATGATGGTTTGTGCACTAGAAATTGAAGCTCAGCCACAAAGAATATCTCAACAGTAAACATTAATGTAGTTTGTAGGCATTTTTCTGCCTAGAAACAAATCAGTTCACCCCTCTCAGCACACCGTAAATGTCAGCACTTTGGGCGATTGAAGCAGGAAGGGTCAAGTTCCAGTCTGAGGACCTCAAGATGTGAAATTGGCTGGCTGTACTTGGGCTAAGGTGCCATTTGCAGCAGCCAACAGCAGAGGGCGGCTGCATCCCTAGTCCTCTCCTTTCACTCTGTTTAATGCATGCCTGCAGGTGGGACTTGGAGTTCACTAGCCTTTCCTGCTCCAGCCTTTTCTCTGCCGCGCTGTCCGCAAATGACAGTGCCAGGCTGGAGGGAGTGCCTGCCACTTTGGGCAAGGTCCTCCAGGGCCTCAGAGCCCCAGGGCTGCCCAGGGCACGGCTGCGCACAAGCCACACTGAGAAAGGCAGCTGCCTTACGGGGTTCTGTCCCAGTTCCCGCCGTCTCCAACTGACAGACGAAGTCTGTCTGTCGGGTCCCTGCATGAAGCAAGAGCATCTCCTGTGGCAGAGAACCACTTCTCAAGGACTCAAGGCCTTTCCTTTAGACACCGCCTGTGGCAAAATACTGAGAAATTCTACATGGCTGTTTTAAGAGAAGTATCTTTTGGGTCACATAACTATATACCTACATGTAAAGATCATTTTTATGGGAGATTATAAAAATACATAGTATTGTGATGTATTCTTTTAACAGAATATGGCTTCATTCATGAGCTGGATTAAAAGGTACATTTTGGCAGGCCTGGTGGGGCAAGTCTGTAACCTCCATAGTGGGGACAAGCTGAGGTGGGAGAACTTCAGAGTTCTAGGCCAGCATGGGCCACATGGTTAACTCAAGGCCAGCCTGCAATTTATAGCAAGACGATGCTTTAAAAAAAAAAAAAAAAAAGCAAGAAAGCTAAATAAATAAATGGCACGTTTTGAAAATCTAATATTGTGAAGTTTATTTGCATTAACATTTTTCCACCATCATAAAAGATACTGACATTTGTTCTGTATGATCAGAGAAAAGACATTTTGGAATGGATACTGTTTCTACTATTCTTTAAAGGAAAAGGTGAGTTTTAAAAAAACCCAAGTGCAAAAATCTTCAGTAGTCTCCACTGACTCCCAGCAGAATACTCAGGGTTAGCAAACTGATAACCCCATGCTGATGCCACCGGCACTTTCCAAGCTGTACTTGGAAACTACGCCACAACCCCACCAAGGGAGTCCAAGGCCCTTGCCACCTTTTGGCCTCAAACCTCGGAACCACTGGCAGGACAGTTCAGTCTGAGTCCTTGTCTACAACTTGCCCCCAACTCGTGAAAGCTTCTCAAAGCCAGCTCTGGGTTATCAGTTTGTCCCTCACAATCCAGCAGATCCAGAGAAGGTAGTGATCAGGTCTTTGAATTTTTAACTATGATTATTTTTCTTCACTGTAAAATGTACTCAGCTGGTAACACATCTGTAATCCCTGCACTCTGGGAGACTGAGGCAGGAGGACTGCAAGTCCAAATCCAGCCTGGGCAACTCCATGTGACCCTATCTCAAAAATTAAAAGAAGGGCTGGGGGTGTAACTCAGTGCAAAGGTTCTGGGTTCAATCCCCAGCACCACAAAACAAGACCATTCGGCCATGTATGTACCAGTGTGGAAGATGCAGTTTTAAAGTTGTTTATTACTGGTTTTGCTTATATGAGAAACCCAACGTATAAATAATTTAAGGAACAAAATAAAAGGGATTTGAAGCAGGGAGATATATGGAGACAGGGAGGGGGTGTGGGAATCAGAAGGAGAAAGGCTGATGGGGAAGGAAGGGAAAGCATACAAATGATTAGGATGCAGTCTGGAAATTTATGAATCCTCTAAGATGAATTTGACTGTAGAGCAAACATATACTAGTAATAAGAGAACAAGTGTTTATTATAAAAATTTTATGGTTGATGCTTTGGATTCTTCAATAAATCATCTCTTCAATAAAGGTCTCTAAACTCATTTCAAATTCTCTAAACTTCCAGAAAGTATTTGAAATACTGGTCACTCTAAAAACGTGACAGTTGCAAACTTGACAAATTCATCAGGACAGATTTTAAAAACATTTGGATCAGCTTATTAACACAACACAACACTTTATGACTGTTACACATTATTCTCCCTAACTGTTTTTCATTCTTGGACCTTCAAACCAGCTTGAAATAAATATCAAAAATTTTAAGTACAAAAATGAGTGAACATGATTTTAACACTTTGGAAACAATTAAAATCAGTAATTTCCTGTGTCTTGGAAAAAAAAAACTAATAGGAATCACCAACCTTGTTATAGGCATCTGGACTTCAGCTTGTAACAAATACACGGTTAGAAGAGAAAATGTGTCTGAAAACAGTAACGCTCTCACTGGCCCGAGTCTCGGGTGATGACGTGACTGGGGGGGTGGTGCTTACCAGTGGTGGCACAAAAGGATCTCATCACTTTCTTGGCCTTTCTACTAATAAAACTAATAAGCCACCCAAGGGGCCAGTCACACACGTACACCGCTGGCTCAAGGCACCCGCAGCAAGATGAATTACAGCCCCATCATGAACCTGTGAAATATGCAGGGTTGTCCAGAATACATGATTGGTGCCATTTTCTTTAAAATGACAAGAATGTTTCCACATCCAACTTAAAAACAAAACAATCAGACATGTGCACTAATTATTAGGAAGCAAGTTAAAAAATCTGGAGTCTGTGTAAAGTGCTGAGATTCGGAGGAGGACAGTCTCTAAGCATGCCACACCCTAGGAACAGGAGGAAGAAAGCAATAGAGGGTCCAGGATAGGAAGATTAGTACCCAAGCTTCCCGCTGGAGAAAGAATCAGGTAAAAACAAATAGCACCACAATGAGCGCACTAAGGTGCTAGAGGAGGTACCTTATTCCCTGCAGTGAGTGCCCTCCGCCACCATCACCTTGCAGAAATGCAACTGCCTTGCGGCCACCATTTGGTTCCTTCTAGTTCATTATACTGAACACATATCCCGATGACTCAGCTGTACATAATGTTACATAGTTACAGTTTGTGAAAACAAAGCTCAAAGGAGTATTTATAAATGTCACCTTGAATATAAGGTGCCAAGTTTAAAAGGGCGTCACCTCTCTTAAGACACTGACTTTACGTTAATGGTCCAGGAGTGTTAGAGTAGATATAGATACAGATATATTTATATGCATATATATTTCAACGTGTGAAAATCTTTAAAAACAAATCACAGCACTGATAGCTGCTTTACATACGAAGGTCTTGGGGTCAGTAAGGTGTCAACTATCACACTTAGATTCTAAAAAGAGCGGAAATGGCACGTCGGGAAACCCACGCAATGCTGCTAGAGGCCTGGCTCTTTCACCCTGTCGCTGGTGTGTCCAGTCTGTTCCCGGTTCCCTGTCTCCACGGACGGCATTTGTCCCTTCGGCTCGGATTCGCTTCGGGGTCTCTGCGTTCTCTTGATTCCATGACACCATCCCCCTTCTCGGCTAAAGGTCAGGAAAACGACTTGGGTCCTCCTTGTAGTCTTCAGGGATGGTGAAGATGGAGCCATCGAACTCATCATACCGAAACTCCTGAAAAGTCACAGTGGCTGTGATGGTGGGAAACACAGGGATATCTGCAGAGAGAGCGGGAGAGGAGTGAGCAGGGCCATGGGGCTCTTCTCCAGGGGGAGGTGAACAGGCCTGCCTGTACAGAAGGCACACAGAGGGCAGGGCGCCGCGGAGCTGTGGGCCACCGGAAGGCAGTGCAGAGGTGCAGCAGGAGGAGGAAGAGGACGTCCAGGACCTCTGTGTGGGGACTGTCAGCGTCTTTCCACCACTCAGTATCGCATCTACCACTCTTACCTGAACTGATTTATTTTCGTTTGTACTATGTGAAACACAGTAATCTGTTACCGTTTTAGAACACTAAAACAGTTTACTACTTAACTCTGTGGGATCATCGACCTCAACAGAACTAGACCAACAACAATATTCTAAATGAAATGGATTTTTGACTGAAATTGAAAGTGAAATCTGAATTAATAATGGGAAAATATATTGATCATTCTGCTCAGTTGTGTTCCCATAGGAATTACTGCAAACAGCCCAGGCTGATTCCTACACATCCTCTCTATGTAGGAGCTTCCAGGACTCCTATCTGTAGAGCACAGTCATCAAAACAGACTCAAAGCCAGGAACAGTAGGAAATACCTGTAATCTCAACAGTCAGGAGGCTGAGGCAGGAGGACTGGTCAAGTTAGGCCAGCCTGGGCTACAAAGTGAGTTCAAGGCTAACCTGAAGCATATAGTGAAACCTTGTCTCAAAAAAGAATCAAAGAGCAGGAGACCAAGATCGGGTGGGGCACAGGGAGTAAGTGGCCTAGACACAGAATCTAAAAGGCGAATCAAAGCCCCCAGAGAGTGTGAAGAGAGAAGGAAGTAGCCGGCTGTGCCTTCTCCCTGAGATGAAACCCAGGGTGAAGATGACAGCTGGTGACCCGGAGGCCTCTGCAGAAGGGGCGACACACGGTGGAGCAGAGCACAGATGTGAGGAACTGCACTGGCTGGCAGTGAGTGCAGAGGGCTCAGTCCTCCTGCAGGAGCCATATGGGAGCTGAGCAGCTGAGCTCAGAACCTTGAACTGCTGTGGCTCCACCTAATGGCTCCCAGCTGAGCTGGGACAAGTGGACTGCGGTGAGCCCTGTGACTCTGGTCTCCCGGCAGCCTGCTGAGATTATCCACTGCCCCACTGAGAAACAACTGTGGGCTGCTGGGATAGATCGGCAGGAATCAAGACTCTGTCTCCACAGGTTGTCTACTAGTGAAATCAGAGAGAATCCTGGAAGTGGACTTTTTTTTATTTTTCTCTTTCTCCTTCATTGTTTGATCTTGTTTTTAAATAAGTGTGAACATAGTTCCTAGCTTTTGTGGTTGTAGTTCTGTTGTGTTCTTCCTTTTATCTCTTCTTTCAGTCTTCAGCACCAGTTTCCCAAAAGAAACACCCTTTGTCCTCTGACCTCATTTTTAATCTCCTCTTGTTCCACTTCTCTATTTTCTCCTTAATTGATTTTAAATTTTAACCCCGGAGGGCAAAATTGACTTCTGTACTGCATATATTTTCTGGTTTGTTTTAGATTTTGTTATATAACCACAAATCTAGTTCATACAGTTAAAAGTGACAAATTAATGGTTAGCTCAGTCTGTCACTTTCTAGGATGTGTTTGGTGCTACTGGTACAACTATAGCCAAAACTGACATCACTTTTCTAAACATATGTTTGTCCTGGTATTCCATGACTGAGACTGACTAAGGGTCACAGAAAACACTGTGGTTTAGGCTAAACAAGCAAAAACTTCTCATCTCCAAAAAACTGAAGAGGTAAGATCTTCCAACAGACTCAAAACCCAAAAACCAGCTACACCTGGAAGATACCTCAGAGAACTAATTAACTCTGTAAATGTCCTAAATATCAACAATAAAGCAATCTACCACAGCCAATTTAAACTAGGAGTTAAACTAAAAAAAGAAAATGAGAGGACATTTAAACAAAATGCAACCCCAGACATCAATTTCACCGACCGCAAACCCAGGGGTCAAATGAGGTGGGACAATCCAAAAGTTTCCCACCTGGCCTCCCCAAAGTGGTAACAACAAAACAATTATACGAGGTTCTGGGGAAAAAAATGAAATCAGAAATAATCTCTCAGATAAAAATTATGCTTAGTGACATTTGAGCAGACACAGACAAAAAATAGACAAGCTTAAGAAAATTGTAGAAACTCAGCATAGGAAAGAAATGGGGTCCACAGGGCAGATAAAGCAGACATCAGGAGAATAAAAACCCCACTGAAAGTATGTAAAGAAGATCAGGCCAACAGGAAGTCAGAATCTAGATAGTGAAGGCAGGTTTGCAGTTAGTGATTAGAAAAGAAAGATTTCTCAAAAAAAAAGATAGCAAGAGACCATGAGAAATCAACCCAGCAACTGCTAAATGAGACAAAGAAAATAACTTCAGATCGACTGTAGTCAATGAAAAAAAGCAGATGATATTTGCACAAATGATATTTGCAAAATATTCACGACATCATGGCAGAACTTTCCTGGTAAAGAAAAAGAATATGACATACAAAAAAATGAGGCATATAGAACTCCAATTAGCCATGATAAAAAAAAAAATTCTATAGTCAAGCATATCATACTCAAGATTCCAGAAATTTAATGCAAGAATAGAATCTTAAAAGTTGTTTGGGAAAAGAAAGAAATCACTTGTAAAGGAAAACCCGTCAGAATCACAGCTGACTTCTCAGCACAAATTCTCAAATCAGAGAGCCTGGAATATTCCAAGTTTTAAAGGAAAACAACTTTCAACCCAAACTGACCTACCCTGCAAAACTATCTTTCAAAACTGATGGAAAAATAAGACACATTCTTGACAAAAAAACATCTGAGGAAATTTATAACACCAAACTAGCACTGCAAAATGGTCTCAAGGATATTTCTGAAAGAGATAATAATGACTACAGTTCCATGAGCCCCAACAGAAGGAATCCACCAGGCAAGGCAAACCATTACAAGGGGAGGGGAAGAAAAAACAAAAAGCAGGGGAGCCAGCCAACAAGCAAATAGCATGACAAGCATAAGTCAGTACATATCCATTATAACCATCAACGTTAGTGGTCTCAATTCACCCATCAAAAGGCACAGACTGGCAGATTAGAGCAAGACACAAGATCTAACAATATGATACTTACAAGAAACACAGTTAATTCAAAAAGAAAAATCAAAAGATGGAAAACAATACTTCATGAGACAGGAGCCCAGAAAAAAGTGTGGGTATCTATTCTATTTGCAGACAAAGTGAATGTCAAGCTAAGACTGCTTAAGAGAGATAAACAGGGTCACTACATCCTCGTAAAGGGAACAATCTAACAGGAAGATACAACAATCATAAATATATATGCAACAAATACCAGTATACCAAACTATATAAAATACTAACAAACATGAAAAAAATCAAATAAGCCCTAATACAATTGTATTGGGAGATCACAATACCCCATTGTCACAAAAAGGCAGATCAACTAGACCAAAAAATCAATAGTGACCAAACTAGACCAAAAAATCAAATATTAGAACTGACCCAAACTTTTAAACAAATGAACTTAGTAGATGTCTACAGTGTTCCATCTCTTGATACCAGAATACACATTCTTCTCAGCTGCACATGGGATGTTCTCCAAAATAGACCATATACTGGCCCATAGAACATGCTTAAGTAAATGCAAAGGAATTGAAATTATCCCATGCATACTATCAGACTACAGTGCAATGAAATTGGAAATCCAAGGCAAAAGAAACCATATGAACTTCATAAACACATGGAAATTAAATAGCACCCTACTGAACAACCAATGGGTCACATATGAAATTAAACAAGAAATTAGACAGTTTCTATAACTGAATGACAACAACACACCAGAGCTTATGGGACACAATGAAAGAAGTCTTAAAGAGGAAAATTTATAGCAGTAAACACCCATACTGGGCACACAGAGCAAGCACATATATACAACTTAATGGTGAACCTCAAACTTCTAGAAAAAGAAGAGCAGGCTAACCTGAAAGCTCATATGAGGGAGTAAATTATAGAGATCAGAGCAGAAATTAATACACTGGAAACTAAAACACACACACACACACACACACACACACACAATACAAAGAATCAATGAATCAAATTGCTTCTTTGAAAGATTAAATAAAATTAACAAATCCTTAGCCAACCTTATAAAAAAAAAAAGAAAAAGACTCAAATACATGAAATTAGGAATAAAAAGGGTGAAATCACAACAGACCCTGCAAAAATTCAGAAGATCATCTATACCTACTGTGAAAACTTGTATTCTAATAAGATGGAAAATACAGAAAGAATCGACAGATTTCTATTTACATATGAATTACCAAAGCTGAATCAAGAATTGATTTTATATCTAAAGGTTTTATATCTTAAAACCCTAAATAACCAGTATCAATAAAGTCAAAGATTTCATTACTTAAAAACATATTAACAAAGAAAAGCACAGACCCTTACAGATTTATTCACTGTTGAATTCTGCAAGAAATTCAGAGAAGACCTAACACCACTACTTTGCAAGCTCTCATGAAATTTAAAGGGAAGTGATTCATTCCTGGAAGCATTACCCTGATACCAAAACCAGAGATAGATCCTACAAAGAGAATTACAGGCCAATTTCCCTAATGAACATAGACACAAAAATTCTCAGTAAAATACTGGCAAACACAATGCAGCAAATTATCAAAAAGATTATACACCATGATTAAGTGGGATTCATCCTAGGGATGCAGGGATGGTTCAACATACATAAACCCATAAATGTAATATAGCATAATAACAAAGCCAAAGACAAAAATCATATGATCATCTCAATAGATGCTGAAAAAGCTTCTGACAAAAGTCTAGCATCCATTCATGATAAAAACCCTACAGAAAATTGGAATCAGTGGTTTTTACCTTCATCTGATAAAAGCCATCTATGACAAACCAAAGTTTAACATCATGCTAAATGGACAAAAACTGAAAATGATCTAAAATTAGGAACAAGACAAGGATGTCCACTGTCTCCACTCTTCAATCTAGTCCTGGAAACTTTTGCTGGAACAATAAGACAAGTGAAATAAGGGTAGGAAAAAAAGAGAAATAAAAATAGGAAAGGAAGTAGTTAAACTATTGTTATTTGCAGATGATAGGATACTCAATTTACAAAACTGCACAATCACACCGAAATCAGTCACCAGAGCACATGACATCTGCATTCAATTGTCGGATCAATACTAGCACAAACCTTTCTCTTCAGTGAACTCAGAGAAATCAGTAGTATCACTATTTTAACTATAACTTATTTATATATAGTCTCTTTTAGCTTCTCACATTAGTGAGATAACACGATTTTTACACCGAAGTCTGACTTATTTGGCTTACAAGCCTGGTCTCAAGGTGTATCCATTTACCTACAGAAGTCTCAAGTTTGTCCTTTATGCCTGAGAAGTACTCCAATGGTATAAAAACATATCCTTTTATCCATTCCTCAGGTGATGGGCGTTTAGGTCATTTCCAAGATTCAACTATTACAAATTGTGCTGCTATAAACATGGGTACACATATATCACTGTGGTATGATGTTTTTAATTCTTCTGGGAAGATACCTTGAAGGAGAATAGCTGGGTCAAATGGGACCTCCAATCCTAGTTTTTGAGGAATCTCCACATTGATTTCCACAATGGTTGTGCCACTCTACACTCCCACCAGCAGTGGAAAGGGTTCCTTTTCCCTCATATCCCCTGTTATTGCTTGATTTCTTGATAGTAACCACTCTTTCTGTGGGGAGGTGGAATTTCAGTGTTGTAATTTGCATCTCTCAAATGACCAGTGATGCTGAACTTTGTTTTGTTTTTTTTTTTTCTTTTTTGCAGTACTGGGGCTCAAACTCATGACCTTGTGCTTGCCAGGCAGGCACTTATGCCACTGAGCTAAATCCCCAGCCCAATGCTAGGTATTTTTTCACTTATTTATTTGCTGTTTGTATTTCTTCATCTGAGAAGTGTGCATTTTTGCATCTCATTGGCATCTCAGATGCCAATTTTTGGATTGAGTTTTTAAAATCTAGAAGGACTGATTTTTTAATGAAAAGGATAAAAATAAACCATAGGGGCCTAACTTTTCTTTTTTCCTTAACTAGCAAAAAATGTTAGATGCTCGCGGAAAAAAATAAATAAATAAAAAATCACAAAAAAAAACCACACACACAAAACAGCAAAGCCCAAACAATGGAACTCAGAAACCACATCTCCAATATAAAAATGAGGAAAGGCAGCTGCAGGAAGGGGAGAGGCAGGTTTCCCCGCTGACAGAGCACAGGCCATGGGCTGGGAGGGGACACTGCGCCAAAGCCCACCTTCAGTGCTCAGACCTGCTCTCCCAGGACACCACCCACTGGTCTCCAGCTTTCCTCCCTGCAAAGCAGCTGCCACCAGGGCCCAGTACAGTTGCCAGCGCATGCATCCTCGCTCTGTGGCTGGCTGCCTCCCAGTCGCAGTGCTGTCATCTGGTCAGAGCCTGGCTCTCTGGGAAGGATCCCGGGGCGGGATGACGGGAAACTCCAGCAAGTGGCCTGTTAGCAGCATGGGAGGTCAGTAGGAGCCCAGGGCTGCGTGGAGGAAGGACACCGTGCAGATGGGATGAGGGGGTGGCATAGAGGGCGGCTGGGTTCCTCTGGGGTGTGCCCTGGCCTCAGCAAGTGGGTGGGCCAGGCTTCAGCTAGGGCTAGGGTCAGGGTCACCACCGCATCCTGCGCAGGGCGTGCACATGGTCCTGGCCTGACTGTTCACCACAGCTGTCAGCAGTATGTTACAGCTGTGTGCAGTGGCCTGACTGGATCCCTCGAGGCAACAGGACTGCTGTGAGTTATAGGCCAGCTTGAACTACGTGAGAGCTTCTCTCAAAAACAAAAAAAAATTAAAAATCAAGTGAAACAAAAAACATGTGGGTCCCTTTAGGTCTCTTTACTTTTGTATATTATGTAATATATGTAATGTATATATGTGTGTATGTAATATATGTATATGTATGTATGTAATATATGCATATGTAACCATAAGGAGGAAGACATCATGAAGATAGGAGAGATTTCCACAGGGCAATGAAGAACGGCATTAAGGCTGGGCAGAGTTAAACAGAATTATTATGAGCTGGATGGTTGAATTTTAAAAGGTCAGAGACCTAGAAAACCTAATTACTAGGAGGAAAACGATGGAGGTAAAAGAGGAAGAGTGGGCGAGCAAGGCCGAGGTGTGGACTGGGCCGGGAGGGCGGGGTCTGGGTGTCTCCAGGGGTGGTGAAGGGCAGATTGCAATCCAGAAGGTGCCTCGCCAGCAGGCTGCAGGACAGGAATGATGGGAACATCTCAAGAAGTTTGCTCATCTTCTCCCCACTTTTCTGAATTTAGAAACAGAAATGGTGCAAGACTGATGAAGCCAACCCAGGCACAGTTTTACAAGGGAGCTAAACAGAGGTGAAAGAAATGAACCAGCTTCCAAGGCCCCGGCCGGACACAGAAGCAAACACAGAAGCGAGACCGCTGGAGTGCTAACTCCAGGGCCAGGACTGGCTTTGGCTTTGGCATTCGCGATGAGACCTGCAGGTGGGCTCAGCTCTGGAGTCTCAGTCTAAGCTGCCCTCTGCGCGCGCAGAAAACCAGGACGCTCCACACCCTGGCTCAGGCTGCGGACAGCACTCAGATCTTTTATTCCTCCCAATCCAGTCAGGGGTCCCAGGGCTTTTTCCAGTGCGAGGGCAACAGTGCAACATTTTCCACATCATTTTAAAACTGATTCTAACCCAAAACAAGGTCTACATCCAAGTCTGGAAATGTCAGGTCAGGGTTAATTAAAACACCCTGAGAGTAAAGCATGGCACCTAATGGTTACGAGGCGGATGTCTATGTGTGCTTAATGCGCAGTGACACAGATAAAACCATCCAGACACACTCGCCTGGCTGCTGTCTCCCCCAGGACTGCATCCGATACCTACAGGCACTGGGTGGGCCAGGCAGCATCGCTGCTCCCCTAACCCTGAATGCCACAAATACTTTTTAGCCAGCGCTTGTCCCATTTTCTGGTATGATAAATAAAGCTAATAAGGAAAGGTGACACCGTTTTTAGTGATCAGGGCTTAACACAAAATGAAATCAAGTGTAAGACTGGGACACAGAACGCAGGGCTGTGAACTCATCTGTCAACAGTGACTGCTGTGTATAGGAAGGTCACCACCCAGCAGAACTCTCCAGGAACCCTGCCCGTGACTACATCATGAACAGCATCAGCACCTGCACCAAAGGCTCATCCTCACCTCCAAGGAAGTGTTTGCATCTGCATGGAGTAGAGCACAGCATACACCCGGCCCTTCCAACCCTAACCCTAACCCTAACTCTTCTTTATAGGTTAGGACCCTTTGTAAGGGTTGCGCTCTTAAGGGAGTGTAAGAGTGTGAGCAGTTATCTTCCTTTACAGCAAATTTCCCACTTAACTTTTTATTTCTAACAGACACAAAAAGTACACCTGAATGTCCTTCTTACCTAATTTCACAGGAAAACCTGGAGGAAGTTTCATCTGAACAAATTCTCTAAGCTTGTTAAAGTGCTTGAAGGGAGCTATTACTTCCAACACATTCAGCAATCTGAAACACAGAAGAAAATATGTGTTATTGTTCACACTGATTTATGTGTGTTCTTACACTTAGGACCTCAAACTTTAGCAGTACTGACTTCAAGATTTAAGGATGAGGAAATGGCACGCTTTCTGCCTCCACCTGTTTCTATTATTCTTTTTAGGAGGGCGAGGTCTGCCAGTTTCATCTGACGGTAGTCACAACTTCCCCAGTCATGGGATGGGGGCCTCCTCTTCCAAGAGATTCAAGGCATCCACCCATCTGCTTCCTACAGTCCTTAGTTATCTAAGTAGATGCATGCCTAGCTGGCCGCACTTTGCTGTCAACCTGTCCTCTCTGTGAAGTGCTCTTGGGTGCTTCATAGCCTCTGGCTTCTTGCATATTTGCTAAGTGAGTGCTTCCTGTCTTTAAAGAGAAGAAATCTGCTAATATAAATCTCAGGTTATATTTATTCTCTTTTCCCCTGAGCTAGAATTTCATGTCCGCTTCTTCGTATCCCATGTTCTCAGTCTTACTACATACAGCTCCTCCGTCTAGCTGGGTGAATCTCATTTGACTACCATTATTTTTCTTTCAACAAAGGCCTACTCACGAAATACTACACAGCACTTGTTAAATTGTTTCTGAAAGTTATCCTCAGTTTGCTCAGGTGTACGTGACATCTTACCTAGATAGGCTAAACTGATCCTAATTTTCTTTGCTTTTACCACATGCAAAAAATATTAAAAACTCTAAGATCAAGCTGAATTTACCCTTTTCCTGCTTAAATGCCTTTAGATTTATTAACAGTTGAAACCCAGTAGTTTAATCAGGATAAGTCTGTGATTACTTTCTATCCGTTTTTCCCAGAACTCAATGTTACTCCACAGATTCAGGGTGCCTTGGAGAATTTTTTTCTTCTCTCAAATTTTGAACAGCACTTCAGTGACATTTGGGAGGGGCTTTGTGATGTTAGGAGAACCCCAGTGAGCCTCAGGTCACAGTGTCTGTGTACCGTCGTTTTCTCTAATGCCTTTTAACTGTTCTCCCACCCCTCGCGGCTGTCAAAATTGTACTTTCAGCCACATCTCCTTTGCTCACTGTGGTCCTACGGCACGTGTTTCGCAGGGTCCTGCTCAGTGCTCGATTTGCTCCTGCAGCTCTGCCACCCCTTACTGGCTTCCACCGCCCTTCAGCTCATCTTACAGCGGTTAAGTTACGGTTTCTTTTGTTTTTCTACTGCACTTACAGAAAATTTTCTTCTGTTCACTGTCCTGTCTCTTCTTCTAGAATGAATTTTTTGTCTGGCTTTTCATGTGGTAGGTAGTTCCTTGTGTTTGGGGCTTTTGTGTTTACTGTGGGGGTTTTTTCTTCTAGATGGTACTAGACATTACACCTAGGGCCATCAGGTGTGCTGGGCAAGTGCTCTACCACTGAGCTACAACCTCACTCCGCTGTAATTTTTTTTTTTTAATTTTGAGACACAGTCTTATAACTAAGCAATCCAGGCTGGGCAATAACTTGTGATCCTTGTGCCTCAGCCTCCCAAGTAGCTGGGATTTCACGCACTTAACACCACATAAGCTGATTCTTCTTACTTTACTATTTTTCAAGAACAGTGATTACAACTGCTACATCTTGCAAATACTAAGATACTCGCTTTTTTCCCTGTAACACTTCTGAAACTGGAATTACTCTTAAACTGGTATCATAGTAAGAGACTGGCCTTGTCTTCTCCTATAGTAGGAAGCAGAATACAAAAGTGGCAGCTGCGGTGAGCCCTGGCTGTTGGCCAGTATGGACCTGCAGGTCTGTGTACGGCCTACGCACCCAGAGGTTCTCATGCAAGTCTGGCATCCCTGACCAAACCTTTAAGGGTATGCAGAACTTCACCCTACCTTTCTACAGCTCAGGAACAGGCAAGTCAATGCTGTACGCATCAACTTTTTGAAAAAATGTAGGTCCTACTTTTTTCTTTGAGAAAAGCAATTCGGTTTTTTGTTTTTCGTTGTATTAGATTCAAGACTGACCAGGAAAGAGAAATAGCCTGGCGCCCCAACTCTATGGCTGCCTTATGCTGGTGGAGAGGGCCAGCGCTGCAGCTTTATCAGGAGTCACGTCTACCCTGGTGCTGTGGCACACACCCTCTAATCCCAGCTACCTGGGAGGCTGAGGCAGGAGAATCACAAGCTTGAGGCCAGCCTGGTCAACTCAGCAAGACTGTGTCTCAAAATGAAAATAACAAAGGTGGATATGTAGGTCAGTGAAAGGCTCTGGGTTCAACCCCCAATACTGGAAAAATAAATAAAAGAATGAAAAGGACTCTGGCTATGTACCTCCCCATTCTAGCCATTTCTCCAAACTGGATTTTAAAACCAGGAACACTGGGTTACACAGATCTGAAAAGACACATTCAAAGTGCTCCCTGTGATATTGTTTATAGTGGGGATAAACTACAATACCTAAATGATTACCAGTAAGGGGATGGTAAAATTAGAAAATGGTTTTCCTTTTTTTTTTTTCTTGGTACTGGGAATTGAACTCATGTCCTTGCACTTGCCAGGCAGGCTCCATACCACTGAGCTACATCCCCAGCAAGGGGATGGTAACATGAATGACAGTAAATCAGTGCTGTAACACCACGGAAAAACAAAGAAACAGAGATAGACAAAAATGTAATTACCATAAAAACTTCAAGATGTAGTCAGTTTTCAAAGAGAAATAAACTGTTTTCCATTTTTATAAAAAGGCAAAGACATTGCTAAGTTATTCACTATCAATGTGTAAAAGAAAACTATCAGTTTTATCTAGAAACTTTCATGCTCTGAGACTCTCTTACAAGTGTGTACTCATGTATGATTTTAAAATAGCAATCCAGGGAGCTGGGTCACTACTCAGGCCAATGCATCCCGGCGTTGGGGTCATGGCTCCTCGGGCAGCCCCGGCACACTTACGAATCGATTCCTAAGGGGAATTCCTGGCTCATGGCGATGGTGGCTTTGAATGTTTTCTTACTCTCTTTGCATACCAGTTCTCTACCCAGATGAGGAGCTCTAATGTATAAAAACAAAGAAAAACAAAATGTTAGGAAACCTGCCTCACAGGACATCGACAGTTCACTCTCATCTTCTACAAAAATACAATTACTCTAAAAAGAGAACAGGATATGTGTAAGAAAAATAATGAAAAGAAAAAGAGCAGACTAAAAGAACAGAAACAAAAAAGATCAGACCACACCACAGCCCATTCTACATTGAATAATGTAGATGAATTCTACTAATCACTTTTAGGAATTAAAACAAAAAAATCATAGACTTTAAGGCACCATTCAAACAGGAGGCGGTGTCAGCTGCCGGGAAGAATGTCTGACAAGGACGCTCTAACAAATTCCAAGCCCACGTCCACAAGGACACTGTGTGCGTGAACCACTGTCATGACCGTCGCTAGCTCTGTCCTTCCGTGTCTCCCAACTGCTCTTTGAGTCAGAACCAGCGTGCAACTCCCGGGCTAACTCACTTGTTTGGGTCGGGTTTTGGTATCCTGCTGACACCAGCCTCAGACCTTCACTCCCATTCTATTTTTCAGAGGTAGTTGTGGAAGATTAGAATTAAATTTTCTTTGAACATCTGTTCAAATTGACTGGCTTGTTTTTGGAACTGATCACTTGGTGCACAGCTAATATTTGTTAAAGGACACTGAGTTGAAATGAATTTGTATCATTTAGTATCTAATTAGAAACAATATATAATGAACAAGTGTTTCAATGAAGTTGCTACTTGATATATCATATAATATTATAAAAATCCAGTCTATAGGCCAAATTTCAGATTACTTATATCAGGACTTGACTTTATAGTTGTGACCTACTAGTCAGTTCTAAAAATAAATTCTCTCAAATTCCAGATAAATAAATAATCATTCAGCCACGTGTGGTGACACATGGCTGTAATCCCAGCACTAGGAGGCCAAGGCAGGAGGATCTCAGTGAGCGTGAGGCCAGCCTAATTACATAGCAAGACCCAGTCTCCGAAAAGAAAGCACTATTCTACATCCTTAAACATCACTCAGTTCTACCTCCTCTATTGTCTACCAATCTCGACATTCATCAATAAATACCATGAAGAATAAAGAATCCTGTATTACACATTATCAAAAGACAAAATTGTGACACATTTAGTTTACAGCTCTAACCATTTTTATTGCTGGCTTCAGATTTAGGATAAAACAACACCCCATGCTATAAAACAGAACTGGTGTTTCAATACCCTGAGGAGTGGGGACTGAGAGGTCAAAAGAAAGCAGAATAATACCCGGCTGGTCATTTCAGCATCCCTTTCCTCACAGGGTTGGATGGAGGGTCCTCCTTAGGGCACCCACATGGCTGGCACGGTCTCCAGCCCGCAGAAAGCCCTAACAGCGCAGAACAAGCGGCTTCAGTCAAATACACCCACTGCCGCAGACTATCAGACAGAGACATGGGGGAGGGGAGGCAGGGACAAGAAAACTGCCCCCAGGAAAAGACAAAATGATGACAGCTTCCTCCTAAGCATGGGGGTGGGCCCTGTTTTTATTCTCTACTAAAAGGAACACTTTTATCAACTCACTAGTACCAAATGAACCCTTTTTTTCTGCACCTTGGTTCTCTTAGTTGACAGAATATGTACTGGGCACAAACACGGGCTTGGCTGTGCTGCTAACACAAGAATCGAGGGTCTGGTGCACAGCAGTGGGAAGGAGTGAGGCAGGGGCTGAAATAAAAGGGACAGTGGGACAAAGCATGGAAAGAGGTGAGACAACTACTGAGTGGCCTTAAAAGCTCCGCTATGTTAACAGGAAATCATCAAATGCAAGTTCCCCACACAGCTGAGCATCTCAAATAAGCAATAGCAGATTCACTTGGAAGGAGGCCCACTGCCTTCCTGGAGTGTAAGTCAGCAGGGCGATGGAGAGAGAAGGCTCAGGTGCCCTGTCCAGGTGTCCAAAAGGTGGAACATTCCTCACACCTAATTCATATCTTTAAAGGGTAAAAACAATGCTTCAGAAAAAACAGGTCAATACTCATCTCTAAAATGGGCTATCATGCCCAAATATTTATAGATTGTTTTAACGCACTATTCCTTTTAAAAATCAAAGACAACATAAACGAAAAGAGGAAGAGGAGCAGAAGCCACCTACTTTCCATTCTCGGCTGATATGTACTCTTCCCACGTGATGGTGTTCTGTGGAGGAGGGGTCAGGGACTGTCTACGAACTGGCTGCAAAAAATGAGAGCAGGACAGAGGGGAGAAAGAAAGGTGTCATGAGTTTTTAAATGCAAAATTAAAGCAGACAGTGAGCTGAAAGGGGTTGAGCTATTGAGAGGTAGGTCACAGGACAACGTGAGAGCCCTGTGGAGAGAGAGGACGGGCGGAGGTAGGGACAGAAGTGATTAAAAAAAAAATCATAAACTAGTTAAACCACCCACTTCATCTCTTCAACACAAAAAAGATGCTCTTTCCAGAAGAGTGCCGCAGAGACGTAAGCTGTAACAGAAATATTATCATTTTTTCCCCTAAATCCCAGTAAGAATACTCACATCAAAGGAGCAACCAACCCTTCCATGTTGCCATCACCTAAATCAGTCCTAGCACTAAGACACATGAGGAACTTGGGAGCTACAGAAGGATAAGGATTTAGAAGTCAAGAAACTCGCATTGGGAAAGGGGGAAAAAAAAAAAAATATATATATATATATATATATATATGCACACACACACAACTAATAACATACAACACAGATTTATTTAAAGTTTTAAAACCCAAGAAGAAATAAAAGGGAAAACACAGATTCATTTATTTCAACCAGGGAAGAACAATCAAAACGGAGACCAACAATACCAGTTTTGGGCCTTTCAAGTCTAGTTCTGTGAAACATGAATTCGGGTCCTTACAGGGTAAACGACTGACAGGAAGCGGAGGTGGAAATTGGCAATCACCAAGGAGAAATTCAAAGACAAATGGTGGAACAGAAAGCCCTAAGTGAAAGAGTGGTACGAAGAACGAGATGAGGGGTAGCACCAGCGAGGGCATCGGGAGGAATGGAGCTAAACAGTGCATACAAGGTATGGATAAGGCAATCTATCACAGCCGTTAAGGTCAAAGGCTTTTCTGATACAGGGCCTGAATAGAATGTCAGCTCCAAAGCCTACTAATTGTGTAAATTTGGGCAAATCATTTTAAATAATTACAAAATAGGTTTATGGTCATCCACCTCATAGCTACAAATTCAAGAAAACAGGGAAAGAACTTAGGGTTTTCCAAAACTTAAGACACTCAACAATACTCGGAAGTCTGCAGACCACAGTTACAGTGCACAAAGGAAAGGAGGAAAAGGGCCTCAGCTGGACCTTCAGAGCAGCAGGTTTTGGTCCGAAGACCTTGAACATAAAATGAAAATGAACGCTGAGTTTCATGCTTACAAAATGATTTTGGTCTATTTATCATTTATTAATGAAGACTCAATGACCAAGTACAGATTCACAAAAAGTACTTAAAGCCATTTTTTCCTTTTTTTACGCATAGGGACAACATAAAGAAAATGAAGATGCGCGCACACACACACACACACACACACACACACACACAAAGGTAAAACATAGTAATCAGATTTTATATTCATATGAAGTTCTCTAATGTCAAGGTGAACTCTATCTCTCCACTCTTTACACAGCTATTAACTGGAAGTAAGAACAATACCTCAAAATTCTGTTCCATTATGTTTCCACCTTTGCTCAAACTCTCCATCATGGCCTTATTTCGAAGAATATCTTCTTCACTGAGATGTTCTCTTCTTTTCCTTGACTCTAAAACAAGTCCATTCACCAGATAAAAGTCTGCCAAAAAGTTTCCTACTCTTTCCTAAAACAAAATCAAATATCCAAAATAATAAAGCTTGTCTTAGATTTTTTAAAAAGTCTTGAGATTAAAGTCTCCATAAACATGTAATATGTAGATGAAAATAAATATTCCTTTAGTACTTGAAATGATCAAATTACTTCATATAGCCTATTAAGTCAAAATACAAAACATTACACATTTCCAATTTATAAAGGAAACTTTAAAACACACAAATAAGGATGGTGGTTAATCTGAAAATGAGCTAAATCCAAATAAAAATACTACTTAGTATTGCTTTATAATCTACTCCCAAGTAGCCCAAAGCTATCTGAAAACTTCATTAAATCAACAGTCAAGTACCATGAGAAAGGAGGAGGGGTCGGGTAGCGCAGTTCCCATTTTATAGATAGAAAAAGAGCAGGACAAGAAGAAACCGTCCAACGCCAGCAGCAGTGTCCACATAACTAGAACTGACAAGGACCAAACTGCAAGCCATAGCTGCTTGCTGCTTTCAAAGGAGGAGGAGAGAGTGGAGCAGCTGGCTCATGCATATGGGTAGGTGTTTAAATTTTGGACGGGGGTTAGGGACCTCCAGTGAGCCAACTGGGAGGGCCAGTTACTTCTTTTCCATGAAGCCTTCCAGCCCTGCAGCACCGACTTCTTCACAACCCCTCGGGTGCTAAGTGGGCTCCTACAAACAAGCTTCGCGCTTCTTGCTGCAAGCAAGTGACTTAGTCTCCACCTTGCGGCTCTCTTCCAGTCCCCCAAAAGTCCGTGTTTAGTGCTTGTTTCCAGGTGCTCCTGGCTTTGGTGACCTCCTCACTAATCACCAGAAAGCAGACCACTCTGTACCAGTTTCTACCTACAAAATGGGAACCATAAGCATTACTGACTCCCTCCTTACCTGTCAAAGATTTAAGAAGATCACCTAGACGTGTTCAAGAGCTTTGAGCTGCTTAGCACTAGATGAATAGAGGTTGCAATTTTATCTTCTCCTGCAGATCCATCTAATGCTGTCCAGAAGAACAGAGTACAGACAAATAAGGCTCGGCTAACAAACGGAGGGCAGTTTAGGCTCTCACAACCCGGAATCCTACGCAGCCATTTGCTGCCAAACTGGCTTAGAGAAGAAAACGAATGAACAAGAGCACTAAGATGGTATTCACCTCTTGCAAGGTGGTAATAATCAATTTTGGAGACTATATAATGAAAAAACTTATTAAATGTAAATTATCTTGTTAATAAAGTACTCAGCATATTTCCCCCATAATCCAGCTATTTCGTTTCCTGCTCCCTACAACTGACAATGTAAAGGCATCTCAAAGGACAGCAAATACAACATCACTTCATATAGCAGAAAATTGGCCCTGTTTATCTAAATGTTCTAAAATAAGATAAATTACAATACATCCAGCTACAGAATACTATTAGACAGGGTCTCGCTATGTGGTCCAGGCTGGTCTTGAGCTCACAGTAACCCTTCTGCCTCAGCCTTCAGCATACTGGGGTCACAGGCATGCACCATCACGCCCAGCTATGCATTTTAAGAGTAAAGCAGCACTATATGCAGTGCTTAGAAAAGGCTTCTGTCACACTGTGAAGAGTTAAAAAGCCTATTCGTAAAGCAATAGGTATGATGAAAATTCAGCATCAAACCAAAAGCTATGAACAGTCAACCTTCAGCAAAGGGTTGTGGGACCACAGGGATGGCTGGGGGGGAGACTTTGCAGCCTTGTATTTCGTGATGCTCATGACAGTTAACTACATGGTACATTAATGTGGTGGGCGAGGTTCGGGTGCCTGGGTGTAGCCAGGATGTGGAATCACATATGAGAAACCCAAAATATAACTGAACAGCAAAATTGTGGATCACAGGAGGAGGGACACAGACGGGAAGGGGATGGAGAGATGGAGGGGACGGAGGCAGGGAGCAAGCAGGAGGTCCGTTACGTCCATGTACCAGCTCCATACGGTGAGCACGATTACATGCTGCAAACATGGATTAATAAAAAGCAGTAAAAACAAAGGAGGCTGCTGTGAAGGCCTTGGGGCAGCAACAGATTTCTAAAAAAAAAGCACTTCTGTCTCAAAACTGCAACACAGAACTCCTGCTGGAGCTTCCAGCCCGCAGGTTTCTACATCAGCCTCCTCTCAACTCCCAGCCTGCTGGACCCCTGCAGGATCTCGAGCTGGCCAGCTCCTTCAGTAACCCAGCTGACCCTCTCCGGACCCTCCTCTCTCTCTACTCCTTTGAATTTTCCGAGCATCCAATATGGCTTGGTTGGTTGCTTCTCTCCCTTGCAAATATATTCATTTCTCCTACGTGTAATAAAAATATCATTTCTATAAAAAAAGTAAATCTTGGCTCTCATCTGATAATTCTTACACCTAAATTTCAAAATTTACAAAAATATTTCTTACACATGTCATTCAGAATTTTTTGAATATATTTCTTACAGACTTTCATAACCTCTCGTTGACAGATGCAATGGAAATTAGGGGAAAAATTCACAATTCACTAATGTAGATACTCCAATGAAATTTTACAGTGGTGTGCTAGAAATACAAATTTATTTAATCTGAGCTTATCAGGAATATGAGAAACAGATACTGAATAAGTAAAAGATTAGAAGTCTGAAAGTCAGAAGGAAAAACAAAATCCAGAGAAATCAAGCATAGCCCTCTTTGTGGTCTGCTTTTGGAGCAGATGAAACCAAATAAAAATACTTTGCCTTGAAAAAGAGTAGTGAGGCTTCCTACTACTACCAAATTGTAGCGTGGTAAACTTTCTCTCTGGGCTTTTCCAAGGGTATATTCCAACTCTGCAACCAAACATTACTATTACTTCTCTGGATTCAGGGGAGAGGACAAACTACTTGAAGAAAATTCAGTCATCTACATTCTCTGACACTCTGTCACATACATCATCTGGATGACACACAGACCGAATTTTAAACTGTAAAAAGTCTAGATTTGCACATACTGTTTTATCTTCCCGAAAAAGCCATCCGGTTTGGGCACGTGTGAAAGAAATTGATTTGGTTGATAAAGTTGCAGAGTAAATATCGCTGCTCATTAAAATGTCAACCTCTTCTTCCGTTTCCATCTCTGATTCCTAGGGTGAAGGAAAAAGTTAAATATAAGAATCTGGATTCTTCCAAAGTTATTATACTGTGCTACCTATGAAAATAGCAATGACTACAATATTACAGATTTCAAAAGACAAAAAGGGTAGTTTCTTAATAATGTGAAGTGCTACTTATTCAAAAACAAATGCTTAAAGTTTATGTACTGTCGGCTTCTAGTACTCTAGTAGGTCAAAATTACGACTAATTATGAATCTGTAAAAGTGAACATGTGGATAACACTATCCTTACACCGTTACAGATGTGATGTGTCACAGCATGAGTGCTACCTACTACACAATTATGTAGTCTGTAGGGCACTCTTCAGCGATTAAGAAGGGCATTGACAGACCTGCCACAAAATGCCTAAGAAAGTTTTGCTTCCTTTAAATACAGATGCTTTGACTCCAGGTTTTTAAGTCAAAAAGCCATCACTGTCATCTGAGCCTTTCTTTCTCAGTGAGGTCTAATGGGAAGGAGGGCAGAGCTGGGTGGGGGGGTCCTTTATATGTCTCTAATAGAAGGAAAGAAACCCATGAGTATCAGCCCATGATTTCCAATCATAAAGCAGCCTTGTTTTGGGTTTTATCCTCTACGGATGTCCTCATGATGGTACAAAATGACCAAGCAATAATTACTGGTTAGGTGAGAGAAAAGGAAAGTTTATGGTTGCCACAGCACACAGACGGCGATGAGGAAGAGGAAGTGAGCACGCGTAAGGGGAGGCTCTACTGCACGGCAGGCAGGGAGACCTGATACTAGGTAGACACAGTATGACGGTGGCCGGAAGCGCTGATCTCCACACATCCTTATACCGTGTCCCAGGTTGGAAGAGGCCCATTTCCATTCTGCACCACCTAACCTTCATGGAGATGTGATCCCTCCCTCAACCCAGGAGTTCACAGAAACCAGGAGCAAGGGCTCGGGCCCATCATTTCCTCTGCCCTTACAGGCAGCGTGGAGATGCACTCCTGGGTAACATAGACCACCTGGAACACAATATTTAAACAACAAAAAACAAAAAGCACACCTTTGGCTGGAACAGGTTGAAAAGAATACACATTAATCCTCAGCCCTATGGGCCAGCCTCAACCCCTGTTCAGTCCTCTGCTATCTTCCTTCTAACTTTAGTTTAAACTTCCTTCCTCTTAAAAAAAAAAAGTGTGTGTGTGTGTGTGTATGTGTGTCTGTATATAAGCCAACTAGAATTTTATATATTAACCTGAAACTAAACATACACCATTGTCTATGAAGACACACACATTAGTTTAAAACATAATTTTCAAATAAACACTTAGAGCACAATTCTGGAATCAAAAGCCATCTCCTGCCACTGTACGTGGAGCACCTGCTGCTCATAACACTGCGCACCTGGTGGCCACCTATGAGGACAAACACCAAGCACAGTCCTCCCTCAGGACCTGTGACAGTGTCCTGAACCCTCAGGTACAAAACCCTGTGATTTCCAAGCCTCCTGCATGCAGTGCCGCAAGACCCACACGCAGTCTCTGCGAGACTTCCCATAGACTCTTTATCGTCTGGATCACTCTGTCTCACACTACTGGCTGTGTAAGCAGTGGTCTGTCCAAGTTAGTACAGATGCAGTTTTATCAAAACTACTTCAGTTCTGCTACTGACTGATCTGATCATCAGGCTGTAGAACATGGGAATGTGAATGCTTACAGCATTTTTTGCCCTAAGAATTACTGCTCGAAACGAGCTGTCCTGCGTCTCTGACAGTACACGCGTGCACACACACACTGCCCTGCTTACCACTCCTCTGGTGATCACTTCTGTAACTCAGCTAATGTGCTCCCAGCCTTACCTGACTTTGCGTTCACTGTGACTGCTCCAACTCACTTTGGCCATCGTATTGTCATTTAACACTCAAGAAGTCAAAGTACCCAGTGGGCATCAGAAAGTCTAGAATAGGGCTGGCACACTGCACCTGAAAGGCCAGATCCATCTTTCCGGACAGACCTGCACGGGAACGCAGCCACAGAGGTCTACTACACACTGCCTGTGGTGACTGTAATTCTAGTGATTCTAAAAGAATGGGGCAGTTGGAACAGGCCAGACGGCCCCCAGAGACAGCCAAACACCACTGCCTTTTCAGGGCGAGTCTCCCGACCATCGCCCAACTGCTGTGTTTGCTACTAGAGAATCCAAGTGAAAAAAACCCAGCACCCCAGAAGGGCTAAGCCGTGTACAGAGAACGCTGTTCACACACACTGAAAAGCCCTGCAGTGTCCTGTTTACCAAAGCATAAGGCAAGTAATGGGTGCGGGGGAATGGCACGAGAAGGTGGCCTGGGTGTGACATGCAAAGCAGGCATTCTAGGTCCTAAAGCCCAAACACCATGCACAGAGAAATGAAGCTCAAAAACAAAAACAAAAAAGCTCACCATGTGGAAAGGAACTGATGAAAACCAAAGACAAAATAAAAACAGCAGTGGCAAAAAAAATTTTTTTTAAATTAAAAATCACCTATGGGGCTACAATGACACACAGATACTAGAAAAGCTTCCTCTGTGTTACAGCAGGGAACGGGAACACAGGACGAATGTGACAGCTTTCCAATGGCAACAATGGAAGATGCGATATGACAGAAACTAGATGCTGCTGCACGGCGAGAAAGAAAGGGACAGATGAAGAAATGGTAGCCGAAGGGTCAGCGAAGCGCCCACAGGAAGGAGACAGAGAAGACAGCAGCCTTATAGGCCGCAGGCACCGGAAAACTCTGCAAAGAATCCATCTCAGCTGCACCTGGCACTTTTAAAGCAGCTCTGCAGCAGCCTGGCTGAACGCACGCTTTCCTGACCCTGCCAGAGAGACCGGGCTCACCTCGTGGTGTATCCGCTGATAGACCTTCTGCTCGTTGTCTAATACTACAAAGGATTCCGAGGGGGCTGCGTCCCCATTGAAAATGAAGCTCAGGTCCCCGCGTTGGCACTTCATGTCGGTGAAGTCGATGAGCGTCGTGTTGAGCCTGGGAAAGAACATGGGGTGAGAAGCTGGCAGTCGCGGTTCTGATCACACTTTGGGAATGCTTACACTCTGGGTCTGCAAAACTCACTAAGACGCTAACACTGCATTTCAAATTTAACTTTATATATAAAAGCTAAATTTAGAATATTTTGTTTAAAACATATTTCAAACATGTTTTGCTTCATTAACCCAGTAAGGAAAAAAATCCTCAGGGTTAAAATGTCTCCCTGACTGTACCCTGACTTCCAACCATTTCCATTGCGTGCAGCCACGCAATGACAGTGACTTCCGCAGGAAGGGCGGAAAAGGAGAGTCAAGTCTGTCAATCCGTGAGCCCCGAGGAGCACACGGGCCACCCGGCAGGGACTCTCAGGAGAGCGCGGCCCTGACTCAGAGGTGCCTTGCAGTTGATCTGGAGGTATGGGGCCTTACTTCCTCCTAAGCCTGAGCAACCACTTCACCTACGGAAAGTGTGGCCCTGCTGCCCGCTGTCCTCCTTTCCTCACTGCGGGTCCCTGCCTGTGCAGGGTGCTCTCGGGGCCACCCCGCCCTGGGGAGCCCCAGCCTGGCAGGTCTAATCTGGCGGCTGGCCTCAGAGACAGTCCCAGGAGCCCTCTCCCTTCTGTGGAAGGAAAAAACCAAAATGAAAGAAAAGGCTTCCCAGTGCCCTGAAGTGCTTCTGCTTGCGCAAGGCTTCTTATACCACCAGATGGGGGCGCCCCAGGGCACAAACAGCGCTTAGCCCCAGAGGCCCTGGGACTGGCGGCACATGCGTGCCTACCATCAAGGTACGCGCCAGCGCCAGCGCCAGCGCCAGCACGCCAGGTCCACGGGAAGTGGACGTGCCGGCATGCCAAGAGGCCTGTCACACCGGAAGTGCACCTGGCGGCACACCGGGCCTGTTACACCGGAAGTGGACGTGCCAGCACACCGGGAGGGCTGTCACACCAGAAGTACATGGTTTACACATAAATAACGTGCAAACACGCCATGTTATCAGGCTAAAGATAAAAATGACAAAACAAAATTATGAAATGAGAAAACTCAGATCCAAATATCATTATAAAAGGAAGAGAGAAAGAGAAAATTAAATCAGCCTGAGAGTCTTCACAAGCCAACAGATGGCTGAACAGATGGGCACATGGATGGGGAAACAGGGAAGGGAAAAGTAAGGATGAGACGGAGAAAAAGGCAAGGACTGGGTCTCTCTCAACATGTCCTTCTGTCCCTAATAAATCTCGGATCAAAAGTGACCATGTGAAATCTTCTGTCACATCACAGCCTCCACTCTGCCTACTGTACAGTCTATAGGTGAATAAAACCGTATCTGTTTTAGTCAGGATCTTACTATGCCTTTGATTCATCTGTTACATATCTTATGAGTAATATATCTGAATACACCACAGCACTAAAGTCATTAAACACATAAAAAACTGTGGTTACAAAAGAAAAATCCCCTCTGAATCTCAACTTTACTCAGAAAAAAAAAAAAATCATTAAATCACTTTACCTGATATTGATACCTTGTTTGTATATTTTACATGCATCAGAAGGCAGAATTCGGGAAAGTAAAGGCACTGTATTAAAAAAAAAAAAAAAAACTACCTAAATTTTGAGGTATTTATAAGCGTTTAAATTAAAAGCAATATAAAACATTTCACTAATTTACCAAATTAAAATCCTTTCCTTAAGATAATATTTTTCCACTTAAAAATAAACATAACATACAAAGCAATTTTGTGCAACCTTAAGTGTCTCCTACTTAGCTGTAATTTCTGTATAACTGACTCCATCCTTAGTTTCCCACATACAAGAATTGCAGAGTCAACATAATGCCACAGCCTGTGACATTCAGATGAAGAAACGATCCTGTAAGGTAACCAAACTCTGCTCAGTGGGTAAACAGAGACACAGGGCCAACCTGAGCCTGTAAATATAATCTGGAAGAACACTGGGAAAGGAATGTGTAACAGAGAGCTCCAAAGCGAGAGTCTCAGCCTGACTGCAAACATGGCCCCGGGGGGCATGTTGTACCTTGGTTTCAAAATGTATAAATGAAAATTATACCAGTCACCTGAACTCTCAACCCTGTCTCTAACTCATACTCATATCACTAGTTACGTCCTGATCGTTTTAAAATTATTTACTATTCTGATCTGGCAAACAGGTTTCTAGGGATGAACACATCTGTACCACAGGCTACAGTAAGCCACCGCTCACACAAAAAAGCAAAGCTCAAAACTCCTGAAACTAAGGCCATATCATGTTCATAAATAAGGGATGCATTACATATAGATCTTATAAAATTCAGTGTTTTTATACACTAAACTAGAAAAAACAAAAATTTCATAGAAAAAGGCTATTTTTAAAAGACGCTCAAGGAAATTACTAACATTAAAGGGACATTCAAGACATCAATGTCTTTTTTACACTGTAAGGGAGCACTTACTCCAAAATGATGTGCAATATCAAAGACAGCTTTATAAACATTGTTAGAATAAAAATAACAAGTTTATTATCCAGAAGAAACATAATTATCATGTCAATGGATATAAGAAATCATTTGATAAAACTTTTTTCTTTTTTTAACAAAAGTTGGGCATAGCAGTAATAGTGGAAATCTATAAAGGATCACAGTTCTTCCTGCATGCTTATTAATTAGGTCTGCCCTAAATGTTTGGTGTAAAATAAAACAAAGATGATTAGAAGCAGACAACAAATACTAGGACTAAGCTCACTGAACTGCTCACTGAACTGATTACAGGTCTTGAAGTAGTTATGATTACCTATAAAAATAAAATTTAGGAGCCAGGGATTTAGCTCAGTGGTAAAAGTGCCTGCCTGCAAGCGTGAGGTCATGGGTTTGATTCCTGGTAACCAGAAAGAAAAAAAAAAATTATTACCATGTACCATCAACCACTTAGCAAAAATCAGAATAGGAGGAAAATTAAAAAGCAGACAAAAAACAAGTTGGGATTGAGGAGGAAAAATTAAGGGAAAAAAAGAGAAAACCACTAAGCAAAAAAAAAAAAAAACTCTGCTAGATTTTAACATATTCTAAGAATTCAGAAATAGACACTGTCCTAATTCTGTCAGGACTTTCTCCTTTATATTAACTGAAGTTAACCTCTATATATCTTATCTCCTCATACTTACAGCAGAAGTAGCACAATGTACTACACTGAAAATGAACAGAAGCTTCTAAGTTTCAGCTTTGGTTTTGTTACCACTTGCTCCCTTACTTTACAAGTTTCAAAGTCTAATGTTTTCCCTCTATGTCAAAACAGGAGTCCCAAAGACAGCATGAATATTCTGTGAGTAATGAAATAAAGCAATAAAAAAGACTAGCTCTCCAGATAAACAGTCCTATAAGGCTAAATCTGAAGTAGCAAGCCTAACAGTATAAATTATCCAGCACTTTAAATGCACAAAAAGTGTCCTTCAAAAACAAAAGAAAACAAAAGAGGATCTCATTCACCTAAATCAAGAGGTCAGCAAGATGGGCCAGTTACCACTAACCCCGCTTTAAAAACGAAGAACCTGGAAACGAAGAACTTAAAAAGGAAGAACCTGGTTCAGGAAAAGTAGTGATTTGCCATGCCAGACGCGAGGGAACTGCAGCTTCTGATTCCAGTTCACAGATTTTCTCTACCTAAAAATCCAGGCTCCAATAATTCAACTGCCTCCAGACTTGCTATTAACTTTGAGGATACTTTCTCTAAAGTATGACTATGAATAAAAGCATGAGAAAGAGTAGAGAGAACTTTATACCACCCAGAAGGGAATTTATTCTGATTCCAGTATTCCTGGCTTCCCTTTATTTCTGTCTTTTTTTTTCTTTTTCTTCTTTTGCGCTGGTCCTGATGTTTGAAGCCAGGGCCTCTGCATTGCGCTCATCCATCCGCTTAGGCCAAGCCTTCCCCTGCTGAGGGGGTCCTGTTCTACCCTCCAGGAAGGGCTCACACTTGCAACCCGCCTCTCTCAGTTTCCTAGGCGGCTGGGACTACAGGGTAGCACCACCCATATGGCTTTTTTATCCCTTGTATGTCTTGACAGGAAGAAGAAAATTCCACAAGTCAGTAAAAAGTGTATCATCAAATCCAGTACCAGAAACTATCTGATACTGGAGATGTTTTAGCCTGAAGTATCTGGGCTAAGCAGAAGCCAATGAGTTTAGTTCTCAGCATTAACTCGGCATTCACCAGTTTGGATGTTAAGTCACCGAAATCACTTTAATGGTGAAACAGATCTACTGACATTTTTATGCCTCAGAGAAGAGACACTTTCGACAAGCACCTCGGGGGCTGTGTCATGAATTCCATTAAACAATGCTTAGAATGCATTTTTAACAACTGTAGATGCACAAGTCATTCAAGAGGTGATTACAGCTATTTCTGTCTCTTCATATAACTGGCATGTTATTTAGACATTTGTATAACGTTTTGTTCAAGAAGATAAATTAATGATGTTAGAATATAATCCACTGACAATTAGGAAGCAAATCAGTTGAGGAGCCAACATTATTTAAGGGATAATGCAGTTTAGGACGACCAAGCAGGACTGTGTGGTCCCCACAGTAGAAGACACTGAGGCCAGGGCCCTGCATATGCTACACAAACACTCTACACGGAACCCCTTCCCAGCTCTGGACTGGGATCTCTACGATGAGGAAAAACACTTCTACTTTACATCCATGTGCTCAGCACTCTTGTTACACAGCCACTGCAGATGTTTTTGCTGTGCCCTCCAGGACACCAAGACTTCCGAGAGCTAGGCAGGTGTGAAGACACTATCAGAGGAAGTGGGCCATGAATAACTCTGTGGAAGCAAAACTAGCTTGGGGAGCTAGAGTTCTAGCAGTGAGGAAAGAACTGCTCACGTTCTAAATTGAAGGATGAAGCACCCTAGGAAACCCTTACTCATCCATGCCATAGGCATGGTGCAGTGTTCACAAGAGCAAAACACAGGTGAGCTGACTCAGGAAACCGTCTACATACAGGGAGGGGGGCAGCAGCTAATCCTGTCCGGCACAGAAACCAGAGCCATACAGATTTCTCTATTTGTATGTATGGACACACACAGACTTTCAAAGCACTGAAAAGGATTTCCAAGTATTCACGGGAGACTTAGCAGTGCCACTGGGAAGCACTAATGGAAAATTTAAAACACCTGATCAATTTCTGTAATGTTTAAAACTTTTACAGTGAGTATTCTATTAAAAAAATCGACACAGTCTAAAATTGTTATTAACCTATGAACTAATCAAAGATTAGTTAGGGTACCATAATCTGTAGGCATACCTTTAGAAATACACACAAGTCATAAGACCAGTTTTAAAACGCTGGTAAGTTTGTTACTTGAGGGAAGTTTGGCTTGTACCCAAAAGCTCCAGCAGGTGGCAGGGGGAGTGTTTGTTAGGATAGGATAGGATTAGTAGTTTGATAGGATAGGATTAGTAGAAAACTTAGGTAATACTAGTTAAGAAGAAACAAAACTTTCTTCTCAGGGTGGTAGAAACTTACTGACATTTAAAGCAATAAAAAGACATGTTAGTGGGTTTCAGATTAACCCCTATATTTACTTTTGAAAGGTTATGAAAAGGTGGAGAAGAATTAGAAATGAGCAGTAGCGTTAAGCAAAGTCTCGGTAAGGAATCTGACGGGAACGTTCTGCCTCTGCACCCTGCCTGAGTTGTATTTTCTAAGTGATGAGTTCAAGCTCAGTTTTCAAACCCAAGTGCATTTTGAGAGCATTATAACTGCATTCAGGATTAATGAATATCACAATATGATCCATTTCAAGTAAAGTTATATTTATTGACCTTCCACAGGGATAAAACTGAAATGTCCATTGCTTTCCTTATGTGATAGGAAGCAGAACCCTTGTAAACAGATGAATATATAAAAAATAATACAATATATTGTTATGTTAAATTTACATAATGAACTATAAACATTACATACACAATTATAACATATATAGAATATAAATACATTATAGCTCTCCAAAGTTATGTAAAATGTAATTACTTCAGGTTATTTCTCAGTATCTAATTTCCGTGATTACTTGGGGGGACATCACTGAGCATTCAAATAACTTTGTATTATGTGTCACAATTCAAATGCTTTAAAAAACGCACTTAAGTTTACTACATCCAAATCTTTGTGGATTAGATTTAAAAATCTTTAATGAAGGGCTGGGGACATGGCTCAGGCATAAGCGCCTACCTGACGAATGCCAGGTCCTGAGTTCAATTCCTGGTCCCTCTCCTTTAAAAAAATCTTTAACAAAAACAAAATTTGATTGTCTAGTTACTAAAATAAAGGTCACTAATATTAAACTTCCTGTTTGAACATGCAGGCTTTCTCCCTAGCTGATTCATGTTTCGCAAAGGGAAGAAGCCAGGGGTTTGTGCACAAGCTGTAATCTCAGTTCCTTGGGAGGCTGAGGCAAGACAGCAAGCTTGAGGTCAACCTAGGCAACTGGTGAGACCCTGTTTCAAAAAAAAAAAAAAGCAGTGGCTGGGGTTGGGTTGGGGGTGGTTCAAGCTCCCATACCATTTTTAAACATTGGAGGGGGGCTCACTTTGCTATAGTAAATCATTAAATGACTGTGAAATATCTAGCTCAAAATTCACATCTTTCATAAATAACAGGAGCACTATACAGCCAAACAGCATGTAAAGGCACTGGTCATAAAGTATGTATGTAGCAAGGTGACTGAAAGATGACCAAACAGAACCAAAGAGCACTAAACAAACTGCACACCTGGAGAGCCAAGTACTACACTTAAACACTTCAGTAATCCCAAGATTTTCTTCTTTTCTAAAAATACTTCACATTAAGTTACTGTAATTTTAAGCCTATTTTAATGTTTTAAAAAGGTTTAATATAGTTCTTAAACTTGAGGATAAAAGTTGCTTAGAGGAAGGATCAAGTCTGTTGTGCTAATGTATCTATAAAAGCTTTTGGCACTTGTATCTCTGCATGAATATATATTTAAAGGAAAACAGCACACACTTACCCCAGCTTTGAAAATCCCAGTGAAGTTCTAGATAAAAATCACCTAGCTAAAAATGAAATGTGAGTAATTACTAAATCATCTTATACCTGCTTATTATTTTGCTTTTTAAAAAAATAGTATTATTACTGATATATAGGCTAGAATAGCAAATAATAATAAATTTCAATGTTTTATGTCAGAGAAAGAATAAAATATAACAATACAACAGCACATTAGTATAATTAATTACAAAAAAATTTGCACCCTGTAGGTTTAAAAAGAACTTGTTAAACACGTAACAATGTATTTGAAAAGCATTTAAATTTGTATTAACAAAGATTCTACTTCTCAAAAGATAGCAACTTAGTCTTTCTTATTTCAAATAATGAAACACGAAAATGCTGACAGTAGATATTATGGCAACTTAAATAAAATGGGGGCCTCTTTCCATGTGTCTTGAGATGTTTAATAAAACCAAACATGTAAGCACCCCTAACTATAAGCTCCCCTAACTAAGAAGCCAGGCTGTGCTCAGGGAGACAGGTCCCCTCAGGTCTCAAGCTCTCATCTTTCAGGATGAAAATAACAGGCACCAAGAATCTTCCTTGAGTGCCAGCACACCCCATTTTCACTCCAGCAAGAGGGCAAAAACCATGCCTCTTATAGAAAGAAATCTAGATCCAGGGCTGCTTCATACACAGCACCTCACCTGTTAGAGAGCCCTGAATTCAATTCCTGATACAGCCTCCCTCCGCCAAAAAAGGAAAACACCAAGGAGAATTACTGCCATTTACACAACTTTTATTGATGAGCACTTACCTAATTTATTAAAAGCAATAAATCTTTATCTTCCTAGTCACAGAAAATGGCTGCATCTATAAAGATCATGTTTACATTTTATAATCACAGTCCTCTGCTATCTCAGTCAGTAAACAATGCTTAACACTATATTCAAAATACTCTTTACCTGCCAAATCAGCAAAGAAATATAGCCTACCTCTTTCAGGGCTTTCAATAATCGAGGTCGTTTTTCTTCAACACTTTCCCTGGATTGCTGCTTAAGCTTCCTTAAAAGAGCTGTAACTAAAGTTTAAATTTAAAACAAAATGGTTAGCTAAAAATGACTTTTACCGTGCTAGAATACACCACTGGCTTGTTATTTATTAGACAGACACTACATGTACCCCTGGGCTTGTATACACACACATTCACATATATTTGGACACAGAGCTATAATTCCAATATATTTTAAAAAGTCAAAAATCAAAGAGAAATGTTTAAATTACTGAAGGTCTCCGAGTAGCAAAATAAGTTGAGACACAAAAGATTGGGAACAGGGGCTGGGGATTTAGCTCAGCGGCATAAGCGCCTTCCTTGCAAGTGTGTGGTCGTGAGTTCGATCCCTGGTACCGTTAAAAACAAAAAAGACAAAAAAAAAAAAAAAGATTGGGAACATAGGACATACTGTATATACATTTTTAAAGGATTTTCACACACACAGGAGTATGATCCCCCCCAGGAAATAATGAAAAGAACTATCCCAATATCAACTTACATTCCCGCTAGCTTTTCCTAGTTTTTAATTATGAGTCAGGGTTTACCTGCTTTTTAAAGATTTCTCAGGGATGCTACTATACCCTGTTGCTACACTCATGTCAAGGAAAATCTCAAGGACGGTACATATGAGCAATCCTCGTGGACACTGCGTTTCCAAGTGTGTAACTACACGCCACGGTCCTCAGGGTATCTGTTCTTCCCCACTGGCGTCTGCACCCTCACAATACAGAGAAAGAGAAAACTCAGTCCGGCAGCACCATGCAGAGCTCCGAGACCCTGAACCCCCACAGTAACTCCTCAGCCGTTGTAAAAATCAGACTCAGACACTTGCCGAAGTTTAAGCTTTGCCACTGAGTGGCTGTATGTAAATCTGTCATTCGCTTAATTTCCCTCACTTTGGTTTCTTTTTTCACTTCTCAAGTAAAAGTAAAATCTACAATAGAGGTTTATGAGAAACAATCAATATAAATTTCTTACTAAGTGCCTGTAAGTAAATAAAAATTTTATCTACTAGAATGAAGGTCTAAATTTGGCTTGCAAAACTCAGCAGACTAATCCCTACCACCTAACAAAACTAGGAAAAATGTTAAGACTTTAAGCCCAGAAAAACATAAAAAACATACATGGGGGTGCTGTGTCACAGTGCACACCCATACATGCTGGATTCTTCCTGGTCCTCATATTTTTTATGTACATAAATCTTCAGAGGGCTTAGGAGGGGTTTGTTTTGTTTTGTACTATTTTTACTACGTTATAGTATGCAGTTTCATAAACATTTCAAGCTCCATGTGCAGTACGGAAGAAGCAGGAGAATAAAAGGAGGAGGGGGAGGAGTGAGGAGAACCAGGACAAGGGGAGAGGGGAGAGCAGAGGAGGAGGTGAACACACGAGCAGATTTTGTGCACTTTGGCTGAATTAGGAAAGGCCCAGAAATGAACATGAAAATAGGATCTCCTTTTTTTTTGAGCCACAAGTCTAACTATAACTGCCATATATTTTTAAAAGTCAAATGGCAAAGAGCAATGTTTACTGACAATTTCCTGAAACAGAAGCCAAGACACAAAAGCCCGGGACAGGGACCTACTTTCAGATGCACCACTCACAAGCTTTGTGACCTAGAGAGGTAGTTTGCAAGGACTGATCTACATTTCAGTCAGTGCCAAACCGTTCAAGTTTCTCCCAGCCTACAAAATAATTTGGAAAAACTGGGAACTAGAATAAGTTATTCAGAAATTATACCTTTTTTCCAATTAAGGCTTACTCTTCCCATTGGTTTTGGTTTCAAATCTTTATTAAAATGAAATGTCAATCACAGAAAAAGTATCATTTAAATTTTTATAAACTAACAAATTAAAGCTGGGCTTTAAAGGTGGTATATGCCAGTAATCCCAGTACTTGGGAGGCTGAGGCAGGAGAATCATTGTGTTTGAGACCAGCCTTGGCTACAAAGTGAGCTCAAGGCCAGGCTGAACTAACAAATTAGCTTCTATACATCAGTCTCCAAACAAAACTTTTTCTAGTCTGTAAAATATATGAATTCTGAGAATCAATGATCTAGACAATCCTTCAGAGACGCACGGTTGTTCAAATTTAACTTTCCTGCTTGCTGCAATTTAATGTCAAAGCTGTATTGCTCGCATGTAGTGTGATTTTTCTAGTTCTTTTCCATTAAAAGCTCAAATGTCTTAATAAATATTTATTCAATCTGCCTTCAAGTTGAAATAAGCTTTTGTTGAATATGAAGAATTCAATTCCTTGACAGAAAAGGTCTCTCCAAAAAAGGAAAAGTTAGATATTTTTCATTAGAGTAATGTAATTTCATCACTACATTTCATTACATTGTAGTAATTTCATTACTACAATTATATCTGACTGAAAGCATTCAGTAAATAGATAATTATATGCTAATGAGCAAACATGATTAGACAATGGAACCACTACACAGTATGTATGTAGTACGATACACAGAGATGCCCTATCCTGTAAGATTTCACTTTAAAAACAAAAGCACCATCTAAATGAACTCATTTATGGAAGCACAAACATTCAATGACCCAAAATCACCAGTATATATATCCTGTGCTATATTGCAGGAATCGTACAGACTGACACTGAGTATAAAATTACTTTCAGGATTTAGGTGTTGGAATTCTTACAGAACTCCTCCTCCCACTCAAGTTTTCAGTTCATCTGGGCCCAGGCTCTTGCACTGCGCACCACTGCCCCGATATTCCTTAAATGTGTGTCGTCAGCCTCTGCCTCCTCCAAGCCTCGGTCTATTCAATCCCACTTAATACAGATGACAACAGACAGGCGACTCATCGGGTCTCCAGGGACTCACTGGCCTCTCGTACTGCTCTGCTGCCTGTGTCCTGAGCCTTAGTCCTGAGATCTCGATCCAGCCACACAAGGGGCCTGGGCCTCAAGTCCTCAGGTCACAGGCCAGGGTTCCAAACCGGCCTTCTCTGTCACTCCTCAGCTTCCTTTGCTTGCTAACCCATCCTTCTCTCAGTGGAACTCACCTTACTCACTAGAAAACACTGTTTTCTGAAAACTCATTTGGGTCTTTAACTGTTGAAGCCTTCTCCCTCAGCGGACAATGTCCTCATCGGAGGCCACCTCGAGATACACACTGCCCTCCAAAGCACCCCTGGCTCCCCGCTCCTGGGCTCCCTCACTGCACAGTCTTTCCTCACACACTGGCTGACTCCTGAGGTCCTTCTGTACTCCACTGGGACAGCCAATGGCCCTGCCAAAGACTAGTGAAGCACCCCTCCACTGAGCTGTCTCCCTGTGCCCGCCAGACACTGGGGCACTGCAGAAAACTCACCAGCCCCTCCGTGCCAGGCAGACTGAGTTCCCCCAGCCCCGTTCTCACACAGGGAGCACAGCACTTTGAGGAGGACGCTGAAAGGCCAGCGGAGGACAGAACAAGAAGAGGAGAGGACACAGAGAGACAAGACCCACAGCCGGACCCCAGGAGCCAGGCTAGAGGTCCTGGTCTTCCTTCTAAAACAGGATGTTTTAGGAGGTTAAACCGGAAAGCAGGGTGATCAGAAAAAGAAATTATGACACTAGCCCTGGTTATCTTTGGGTGAAGTTTTCTTTTTTATAACTTTACTAATTTCCTACATGAACATCACTGCTGATAGGAAAAATAAGTATTATAAAATGCTAAAAACTCAGAAGAGCTGATATGAAGTCCTAACAAAACTTTTCAACTGAACTCCCAGTACCCAGGAGGCTGAGACAGAGGACTGCCACAAATTTGAGACTAGCCTAGGTTACTCAGTCAATTGGAATACATAGCAAGACCTGTCTTTAAAAGCAAAAATACATTTTGAAAAAACTTTTCAGAAAAAAGCTGACACTCAGTAAACAGTCTCAAATTTTCTTGGCAATTTGTTTTTCAATACAGGGCCTGAACCACGGAACATTTTACCATCCCCAGCCCTGTGTTTTTTTTAACAAAATTTTCATTTTGAGACAGACAGGGTCTCCTTAAACTGCCCAGGCTACTGCTGAACCAGTGATCCTCCTGCCTCAGTGTCCTGAGTAACTGGGCTACACGTGTGCATCACCACATCTGGCTGCAGCTTTTCATTCACTTATTTGCAATTCATTGAGCAAACACTCTGCTTGAGCCCTTAAAAAGGGAGGAGGACAACGCACTCATGCCTGAGTTCTCACAAAGCTTTCATCACCAAGATGGAGAGGAAGGAACAAATGCTGAACAATGAACTCTGCGAGCTAAGGGTTGGGGTTGGGGTTGGGGTTAGGAGTGACGCTCTGAAGGTACAGACAAGAAGCAATGCAGGCATGCTCCAGGCCCAACCACTGAGGAAAAGGCTTCTTCCAGAAATATAGAGGACCCTAAAAGAAGTCAGTATTGTGGTTTAAGTCAGACTTAAACCACAGGCTGACCGATCTCCCAAAAGCGCAGTAAGTAAGTAAGTGTACTATAAGCTCCTGAGCTCCTGGCTCCTAGAGAAGTGAGGTTAGTAGGTTCTGTGTTGCAGGAAACCAGAGCTGTGTGCATCAGAGACTGAAACTCAGACAGATTCCAGCCCCAGCCACCCCCTTACCCCTGTCCTCAGCACTGTCTCCAAGCTTCACCAGGTAACCACGGAGAGGCAGAAAATCAATGTGATCCTGAAATCTAATGAATTTATGTAAATGCTTCTAAGTAGGCTGTAACCAACAGTTGAGCACTGATTATTCTATTGCACTAAAAGATTAACAAATCATTAGATGTTAGACAAAAAACCCCATACAGATGACAATGCACCATCGTTGCCTCTGATTGATATGTTTTGAAATTTGTTTCATTTTTCTTTTTTTAATCCTTGAAAGTAAATGGATTTAGAAAAATGGAAAGGATAAAAACCTCACACACATAGCTTCTACTAGTAATTTATATTAGAATATCTCTGATTTATCAAAAGGTATAATTTTAATGTAACACTACTACGTATTCAAAGACTTAAAACCATACAAGTGCTGGGGATTGCAGCTCAGTGGCACAGTGCTTGCCTGGCAAGCACAAGGTCCCAAGTTCGATTCCTGGTACTCAAAACAAAGCCAAAAAAATCTCATACAATTTAAAATAATTTCAAACTATCCACATGACAAATGCCATTACAAATACATTTATATTAACCCCTCTAAACATGTACCATAACCAGTTCAATTAGTTACCTTTTAAATTACAAGTTAAATATTTTGCTTTGTTCATGGGAGGTAATGAAAATCCAACCACTAAGTAATTACAGATCTGTAAGTACACAATGGTTGACAATGGGCAGCTCATCCACGCCCCCAGAGTACAATCATCTCCCTCCTCCACACCAGTCCTCAACCAGGGAGGCCTCTCTTCTGCACTGAAACTTACTGCTAAATATCCTGTTATTGATTTTTCCATGAAAATTTTCTTAGCCTTTATAATAGATTACAAATCCCTAAACAGCAGAGACAATGCCCCTGATTGTACATTTTAATACACACATACGCTTTACACGTTCCTGTATTCTGAACCAAAGAATCTTGACAGTCACCGAAGTGTCAGGGTAAACAGATTAGAAACCTAAGAACCCATCTGGTTCCCCTCCACACTAACTTGTTAGAAAACCAAAGAAAGTGTCAGGCCAAATGTTTCCACTTTATTCCTGCTATCTTTGGACCTACATATTATTCTCTCTTTCCTGAACTAATTCTCCATTAAGACTGTTTCTTATGCTCATGAGGGTCTCCTGAACTTTGTCCAAAGACGATCACTGTCAACGCCCATCTGTAATCCTAGCTACTCAGGAGGCTGAGACAGGAGGACTGTGGTTCAAGTCTAGCCTGGGCAGCTTAATGAGACCATCTGAAAAAGGGCCTAAGGGGCTGGGACTGGGGCGGCAGCTCAGCAGTAGAGATCCCCTGCTTCAGCCCCCAGCACAGGTGAAAATGAATGAAGTCTCTCTTTTCTTTCATTTGGTATTTAAAATACCACAATTTTATCTCATAATTTAGGCCTAAAAACAACTCCACCCTTAAAAGTTACCCAAAGATTCAAGAAGTCTATAAAAATATGCTTTACCCACAGATCTAAATCATAAAGAACTGTCCAGAACAGCCCAAAAGCAACATCAAAATAAGACTAAACCCATATAACATTACAGGGTATTCAATGGTACACATTTAATAAAACTGCCTATGTTCTTACTTCCTTATACAAAAGCTCTATTTAACTGACTGCTTTTGCTCTCAAACTTTATGTAAAGGGGCCTTTCCCAAAAGACAACATTGTTATTGGTCTAGACTTCAGTTTTTATAAACTGTCAACCTTGAGATGTACTTGACGTAAAGGGAGGAGTGAAATATTTGAACACTGTGTACTGTGAAAAAGTGTGTGGTGTGTTTTGAAAGTTCACACTTAAAGAGCAAATTGGAGACAGTCTTACTTCTGTCTTGCAACAAAGCCTACACCCAGCAACTAGAGTAGATAACTGTCAGATGGGTCAACACTGATTTTTTTTTTTTTTTTTTATTGAGACTAAGTTGTTCAGGCTGGACTTGAAATTAGAATCCTCCTGCCTCAGCTTTCCAGAGGCTGGGATTACAAGTCCATGCCATGATGCCCAGCAATTTTTTAGAATTCAAACTGGCCAGGCATGTGACAGCACACTTCTGTAACCCCAGCACTGCAGAGGCTGAGGCAAGGGGATCGCCGTGAATTCAAGGCCAGCCTGAACTACATAGCAACATCCTGATTCAAACAAACTAAAATCAATCTATCGATCAAAAAACAGAAAGGACAAGGGGCGAGTGGGGAAAAAAATTTAAAATAAAAAAAAAGGGCACTCAAGTGTCAACTTAAAAAAGTCCTCTTATTAGCAGGGTAGAATACTGCAAAAGGAGAAGAATGATTCACAGTGTCTTTTTAAACATGATTCTATTCTTTTCGTGCACACTCAGTGTTTAAATTCTTCAGTCACAGTTCACCTATCCGTTTATGGACGGTGCAAAGGCTCCAAATGTGTGAATGACCCCAAGTGACAACGGGCTCCACTCCGTGGCCGGCAACTTACTCATCTGTCTGTCTCCATAGCTGATGGCTTCTGCCAGCGGACTCCATCCCTGAGCGTTTTTCACCTTGACCGGAGCATTGTGAGCCAGGAGTAAGTGGGCACATTCTGTAACACAAAGCAGGGGGCATCAATAGCACACACAGCTTCCAGAGTCTCCGGAGAAAAGCACCATGCAGGAGTTTAGCAAGGTGAGTTAATAATGCACGTATTTGTAAACAATGTACTATATAATTAGATATTCTACTTCCCATGTTGTCGAGTTAGGTTATTTCAGATTCCAGATTTAGAAGCACCCATTCTCTACCTAAAAATAAAACGGATCTCTCTGCAAAAAATGCATTATGCTACCAACAGTCTCCAAGACCATTCTAAGAATATACAAACCTCAATAGTAATTTGCACTCAAATATCTATAATCCATAAGACCCCAAAGAAGATCTGTGTGTCTGTAATGTCCAAGAAAGCTCACCATTTATTTCAGAAAAAAAAAAGATTTTTTAAAAAAAAGCTATGTTTCCATAAACACTGATTTTTCAAACTTCATAATTTTTAGTTGGAACAACACCCCTAAAGGGCAAAACTCTGCTTATAAGGACCAAGGCAGATAATTTTCCAAATATTCAAAATTAAGTGTTCTATAGGTTGAGAAATCTTTTTAAAATTAAACATTAGAAGTCCATTAACAGGCAAAAGGGAGATCTAGACAGTGTAGCCCCACGCCCATCATTCACAGGCATGCACACTCAGGAAGTGGTACCAGGCATGTACTGCAAGCCCTTTCCACCACCCAGCACCAGGTACCAGCCGAGCAGAGGGGGCACAGTGTCTTCCTACCGAAGAGCTTGTGTTCGATGTTGGGAGAAAATACATGAATGAAAACGAAAGCTAACACAGGTAGTGCTCCAAAGGGAACAAAGATGTTAGGAAAGTGTGGCCTGGGGGCTATGGGTGAAGAGGAATGACTCCTTTATCACTGTTCCTGGGGAGAGAAGGAAACCCTCTACTGGCACCGAAACTATCAGCATAAAGTAAACCAGTACGGAAATTCCCAGCTGTGTTTGAGAAAGCCTGTCAATACGTTGGTACCTAAGAGTATGTACCAGGAGGTTTATTTTAGGGCTGTGTGCAGCGGCAAACACACTGAAAAAACCTGCTGGCACATGGAAAAGCAGAGGCACCTTTCCCCTGCATCACTGGAGTAACAATATGCCACCTCCATTTAAAGAACAGCGTTGTTCCAAAAGGGCCAAGGAGCCAGCTAGAATGGTCAGACACTGACCAAATCTGAGAACCAGCCACGTAGTGAGAACACACTGAAAAATACCTGACATCAGCAAATAACAGGAAGAGTGAACTGGCCGCAGCACAGTTAGTGGTGCACACTGCAACCCCACTGGAGGCTCAAGGGATCCACATTCTAGCACAGCCTGGGCAACTTACTGACTCAGCAAGACCCTGCTCAAGAACACATAAAATTAAAATGGTCTGGGAATACAGGTCAGTGCAAAGGCCCTGGGTTCAGCCCCCCAGACTGTGAAGAAAGAGAGGTACACAGATGGATACACAGATAAAAGAGTGATGAGTTCTTTGCTGAACAATGTAATTCCAGCTTAATAAATGGCCAAATTGGAAGGTAAGCATACTACAGCATCCAGTGTAATAACACAATGAGGCAAAACTTCTAAATGAATGCTAAATCCACTAGGTAAAAAGTTATGTGTCATAAAATTGGATACTAACAGGGTTCCAAAGTGCTGCCCCCAAATTACTTACCAATTAAAACCAGAACAATGCTCCTTTATAGTGGACCTATCTGGAGATCATTATCAAACATTACCTTAGCAGCATCAATAATGGACTACCCTATCATCTGTGCCCTAAGGTGATACAGTGCAAGGATCTCAGCACCTCCAGGGGAGAACTTTTCCCAGAAACGTTTAACTTTATCTCAACAAATTCCTATTGCTACTTTCCAATTTATGAAAAAGACAAATAACTTAAAAACTATCATGAGGGGGCTGGGGATTTAGCTCAGCGGCATAAGCGCCTGCCTTGTAAGCAGGCAGTCGTGAGTTCGATCCCTAGTAATAAAAACGAAAAAGACCAAAAAAAAAAAAAAAAAAACTATCATGAGAAAATAATCAGACGAATGCAAGTTGGAGAACATTCCAAAAGTCAACTGGATAAGACTTTTTGCAAAGTTTAGGCATAAAGTAAAGAAAACTGGCAAACCCTGCTCTACATTACAACAGAGACATAGCCAAGTGTGGCAAGTTAACTTCAGATGGGTGACATTTTAATATAAACCCCCCAAAGACACTTTTGGAACAACTGCAGAAATGTGAATATGCACAGGCTATGAGGTGACATTATAACAATTCTTCAGCAAAATAATAATGTAATTATGAAGAACATCCTGATTTCTACATGCTGACATATAAGGGGTGGAATGTCATACATCTAGCCTTTTTTTTTTTTTTTTTTTTTTTTTTGGAAATAGGGTCTCACTATGTAGCCCAGGCTGACCTCAGACTCACAGTGATCCTCCTAAGTCTCCCAAGTGCTGGGATTACAAGTGTGCACCACCATGTGGCTAGTGCCTACACTTTTAAAATTGTACAGAAAAAAGTAACACAAAGAAAGATAAAAAAGTACAGTAACTATGATCTAATGTTACCATAATCGAGCCTATTTGAAGAGTATGTGTGTTCACTGATAAAATCTTTCAATTTTGCAGTATATTTAAAGTGTTTCATAGTAAAATACTGAATTAAAAAAAGGAACAGGAATGTTTCTAAATGTCAAAAGAAATGAATCAGAACTATCCCAAGAGATTTAAAGAATTTTCAATGTATAACTGATACAATGTACCTACCAAAAGCAGAAATGCATTGTCTCATTTAAAGAAATGACTAAAGAATTTATAACATATGTGAGCATGTGCCTTCAGACAAATATGCACATCCTGCACCTAATTAGCATGGCTAAGAACTAACTGGAAGAACAATCAAGTTCTATCAGAGGTCATAAGTAAAAAGGGGACAGCCAAGCTGAAAAGAATTTGTTTTTTAAAAAGGATGAAAAACAAACGGACTCCCTCCCCAAAAACCCTCCCACTGGGTTTTAGGAAAGGATACACATAAGTGTGCATGCCTAAGAAACTCAGGGAAGGCAAGCATGGAAGAACTCTAAAGCCTTCCAGGGCTATTTCACAATATACTTTTGAGGGGAAAAAGTAAACACGGCAAAGCGCTGTGTGTCCTAATGCTGCTTCAGAATGCAAACTAAGCCCCTCGGTTCAGGGCAAGGAGTAAGGTGCGAAGGGCAACCTCCAGCTTCCAGCACAGATCACACCAGAAAAAGAAGAGGAGAGACCATGCTGTTCCTCCTCTACCCTGCATTTCTTCAGTTGTTTCAGTATGGCTACACTAGTCATGGAAGAAGCATTAGCAGAAATTTTAAACTTAAAAACATTGTTTATCCATAAGGGTACCGTGTCTTGTCGGAGGAACTAGTATGAGACTCACGTGCTATGCCAGGTATGTCAACAGATTTCAGATGCACAACGGAACCACAAGAGCAGGTGCCCGCTACTCCCTGGTGTAATTCATCTGCGGTAGAGAGGTGCCACTAGACAATCAGATACCACAGCTACGCTGATCACCCAGCATAGACTCTTATATATGAGATCAGAAACTGGAGCCACCAAATGTCTGCTCTCAGCAATGTTAAAAGTGAGTGGTGAGAAAATGCGGCCGATTGGCAACAGGGCTCTAAAGGTCAACGAATGCAGAAAGGCGCCAGGAAGAAGTCAGGACTTGAAGGCATGGACAAACTGAAATCATAAACCATGAAAATCACACAGAGATAAGTGAGCACTGGAAAGGTGATAAAATACAGAGCAGATTGCTGGGTGTGGTGACAATGCCTGAAATCCCAGCTAAAGGCAGATGGATTGTCCTGAGTTCAAGGTCAGCCTGCACTACATAATGACCTCTCAAAACATAAACACACACACACACACACACTAGATGGGGTACATAGGAAAAATGGGAACCTAATAGGTCATTCAAAGAGATCTTCGTGAGACTGAGAATCATACTAATTCTATACTTATTTCAAGGAAAAAATAAAAAATTACATGAAAGACTAAGACTGAATTAAAAGTTGTAGCAACTAATTTAAAGAAACCTACTCTTATGTTTCTAACTTACACAATGAAAAGTAAAGATTTCTTATTATACCTCCTCAAGATTTACTATGTTCCTTATTTAAGTATTTTTGCATTTCCATGTAAATTCATAGCTAAAAATCCCCACGTAATATGGTTACTTTTGTCAATGGACCCAGAAACTTAAAAAAAAAAAAATCAGACTTCTATAAAATAAAGTTTTTCAGTAGGTTAAATGGATTAAAAGGCTGGCACGCGGCACAGACCCGTGACCCTAGCACTTGGGAGGCTGAGGCAGGAGAACTGCCACAAGTTAGAGGCCAGCCTGGGTCACATAATGAGACTCTGTTTCAACAAAACAACAACCACTATGACGAAACAAATGAGTAAAAAAAGGGACTAAATGAAACTCCTAAGGCATTCCCCTCATCCTCTCCTTCAATCAACAAATACTATTTAAGTGCTCCAAGACATTTCTGTTTATAAATATGTAAATAAAAAGTGGCCTTCAATGTGATCACTGAAGCTGTAGCTTAGAAAACTACCACACACTGTACAAGCAATTCCCAAAACCACAGGCAAAGTGGATCTTTCCTCTTCTGCACATTTCAATCCTACTCTTCCGCAACCCAATACAAAAAGAGGGCGTGCAGAACCAGGAAAATGTGAATGGAAGAGTACACTATTTGTGGTTCCCAGAAGATCCCAGAAGAATAAGCACCCCAAGTGTCTCCTTCAATCATTCCCACCGCACTCTCCCTTCAAGGTAAATATGAAAGAGATCAAAGATCAAAGTGCCCTGACTACTTTAATTCAACGCCTGCCCAAGGTAGACCTCCAGGAGACACATCAGCATACCACCTGCTAACAAGTTCCACAATAAAGAAATCTGCTTAACTCTTATTAACCGGACATTTTTCAAATTGATGGAACC